CTGCTGTTCTCTTTTAACAAAATGAGCCCTGAAGCTTACATTAAGCATAAAAATGAGCATGCATATTTTTGCAAAGGACCAATGAAACTGAAGAATAGTGTCCCTACCAAAGTTGAAATCAAACCTACGCCCTTGATCAGCGATATCTTATATCACTGGTCTGCAGGGTTTCTGGGGGTCTTAATAAAGTTTTGATGATGTGAGCTTAAACTTTGCAGTTTGGTTAGGTCACCTTAAGGCACTAAACTCATCTGTTCTGTTCTTGGAGATGGTGGAGCAAGTTACATTTAACTTGTGGGATGTTTACCTAGAATTGATCTCAAAATAAATCAGTAAAGAGTGGCCCTGACAGGATATGTTATTTTTGCCAAACATAGTCATCAGGAAACACTTGAACTGAATTGGATGACATCAGAAATATAATAAAAAAAAAAATCTGAAACTGCAAACAGACCAAAATAAAGTGATATGATAAAAATTTTTGCAAATTTTACAGTCTAAATGAAAGTTTAAAAACCAAAACGTAACAGAAAACATGTAGAATACATGATCAGGATAAATATTTAATCCTGCACTTGTCTGCATGTGAGGAACTTGGGGAGAAAAAAAACATAAGATTTTTGAAATTTTGTTTGATTCTGATGCATTAATGTGTTTCTGTGCTTGGTTACTTCTTTAGGACTTTTCCTATTTAATCCCCTACTTTTATAAAACTGGTAGTTCATGTTGCCTAAAATAAACAAGTTTAGGTTACGGGTTGAATAACACTGTTCAAATAAAAGGAAGTTGATTCAATGTTGATTTTTTTTTTTTTTTTCACAAAACTTGACAGATTAAGTAATAATTCATTTTTGCAGATATTGAGGTCGATTTTGTAAAAGGGAATCCCCAGAAGTGCAATGCTTATGGACCCACAGTGAAGATATACTACAAACAACAAAATGCAGTAACATTAGATTAGATTCAACTTTATAGTCATTACACAGGTACAGGTACAAGGCAACGAAATGCAGTTTAGGTCTAACCAGAAGTGCAATAGCAGCAAGTGCAGGATAAATAATGGTTCTATAAATACAGGACATGGGTTTCTACTGAATGAGTATAGAGATGAATACCATTGTAAATAATGAATATAATATATAGATCACTAGTGTTATGAACTGAATTTACAGCTGGATATGTACCGAATATAATATACAGGTGGATATTACTATAAAAAGGGTTTTTACTGTTATGTACAATACATTGTACATCAATAGCAGAATCAAAAAGAAAGCAGAAATTACAGCAATAACCACAACAAGAAACAGAAAAACAAAGCAACAAACAGGACAGAAAACAAAAACCCACCCACAACCCAGATCACACAAAACAGGATCTTATTACAGATGGAGCCTGATAAATTCATCCATCCAGATATACACACACTAACATTCAAATTCGGATTTAGATCATTGTTATTTAAGATTTTTTAGGTTGCATGTTAGGCCAGACCAACATGTGACCAGAATCAGGGTTTTTAAGCATATGTGTGGAAATACGTTTATATTGACAAGCTTTTTGAATATATATAGAGAGTGTGATTCTTTTATAGAACTATCAATCTCAGTCCAGATCTCCGGGTTGCTAAAAGGGGTGCTTATTCTTCTTTGGTCATTGTTGACTACAGGCTAGGAGGATCAGTCATACTTCCAGTAAACACATGATAACATCTGTGGGGATTTTTTCTTTTTTTTAAAGGCAGTCTCTGTTGCACCGGATTCCCCTCAATCTTCCTCAGCTATTCATTTCTGTCTCACAGCCTGTTGATAAACATGTTTGGGAAAATGACAATGTGATGTCTTTACAAAAAAAAACATATTTCCAAAGAGCATCAAGACACTTTTTACTGTCATCTTTTATAGACAAGATTACATTTTCAATGCATCTAGCTTTTCAACAGTGAAATGAACATTATAATTTATAAAGTGCAGCAGTGATCAGATTGTAAACAGTGTAGGAGAAAAGGAAAACGATTTTAAAGTCAATGTACAAAAGGTAATGATATGGAAAAGTTCAGCGTGAAATAAAAAAAGATGCCATTAAATGAAAATATATGATGTTGTTACTTGAAATATCCCTTAAATCCTGACTAAATGTCACATGTTTACAGTCTCTACATCAGTTGTGAGTCAAAACAGTAAGATTTCATTACAAAATTTTAACAGTGGCAATGAGACTAGGGTCAATCAGTTTGTGTAATAGTAGAGGCTCTCTGGGTCCTTATTGTGTTGAAGAATTATTTCCGTCTGAATCTGATGTCAGCAATTTTAACCACAACATCTGCATGGAAGACAAATTTTTGCTGAGTTTTGTTGCTAAAAAAAGATGAAATCATGACTGATACTGTTCAACATGGAAACTCTCAAAAATGCACATGTGATGAGAGGCACAGCAGGACCATGCAAGTTTATTTGTAGCGTGTTTAAGTAACAACATAAAACAATGCTGTGCATGAACCAAGCATAAGAAAAGAGAAGAAGAAAAGTATGTTGTAGATAACAAAGGCAGTTGGACAATGAATAAAAACCAATGAGTTTCAGAAAATGGTTAAATATAAGAGTTATAAACATCTTTAAACAAGCAGGGATTTAACCTTTTGATGCATGAAATACTAATAGCTTCAGCCAGTATTTTTTCCAAAGTGTTTTTTATTTTCTATAGGGAATAAAAGAAAAAGAGTGGACACATTGGTTTTGTAATTATAAATTACTCAAGAAATGTGGACAGCAAATGTGGGGAGATTTTGTTCTTAATGTTATTATTCTATTCAGTTTATTTCTATGGCTCCAGTTCACATCATGTCATCTCAGGTTTCTTTACAGAGAGAATTCAACCAGATCATCCAGCCAGATTGGTTCAGGGTTTTCTATCTAAGCCTGTATGGCAGCCTTTAAAATCGAACACACCTATTGACTCCTCAGGGATCCTTCACATCAAGCATGCTTGTAGCGACAGTGGAGAGGAAAACTCCCTTTGAGAAGGAAGAAAACCTCCAGCAGAACCAGAACCAGGTTCAGTATGAGCGGCCATCTGCTGAGGCTGACTGGGGTTCAAGAGAGACAGAAGCAGACACAGAAAAAGAAGCAGCAATGAAATACTTTGTGCAATAAAGCAACCCTAATATTAATATATGTTAATACTGTTAGAGTTATAACATAAAAACACAGAAATATACTAGATTTAAAACTAATCTCACTCACCAATCGTCCTCCTGGGCTGTGTGGGTGGCTACTTCATCTAAAGCCTTACAGGAGGAAATTAATGCAGTTGGTCATTGTTAAAGAGGAATCAACGTTATCTCAGATAATCACCGATTGTCGAAGATGTGCATATCACAGGAGCATGAATGTCTGAGATTTACTGTGTTGTTTCAACACAGCATATTTATTATCGTGTTGTTCAATTGGAACTGAGACATTTTACACAACAAAAACAGCATTGCCCAATGGCTACCGTTAGGAAACAGTAACCACAATACAGTCTGAGACAAACACGGTTATATTATGATCTTACGGTATGAGGAAGGCTAAATGTTATTGAGGCAGTGGAAGATTCAAGTAGATGCTAAATCTCCCATAAATATATATATATACATATATATATATATATATATATATATATATATATATATATATATATATATATATATATATATATATATATATATATATATATATATATATATATATATATATATATATATATATATATATATAATGAAACCAGCTGGTTTCCAAAGCTAGGAAGTTTGTATCAATCTGATTGTGATCTGATTCAATTTCCTCTATAAACTGCCTTGAGATGACGTGTGTTGTGAATCGGTGCTTTATAAATAAACTCAATTCAATAGAAACTGAAAATTGCAACTGTATAAGGCCACTTCTCAATGTTTTGCGACTCGCGTTGCAACAGTGGAAAGTAAATGCATCAGGGGATGTGTCTGGACGCTAATGCTAATGCTGTATGTAAGTTTATATCTGAGTGTGTTTGGGTGAACATGTATTTGTCTTGTGGGGAAATTATAAGACCAATCTCCAAAGTGATGACATTGGAACCTTCTGGCTCCTTTTGGGCACCACAGCAGGGCCCCCTAAGGATTATCTTTCTCTAGGATTGGAGGTAAATTGAGTTTAGGTTCGGTTTTATGCCCCAGAAAGAATAGAAAATGAATGACAGTCAATACAAAGTCCCCGTAGGGATAGAATACAACATGTATGTATTTTTTCAGGAAGCAGCAGCGTTTGATGAGTAAAGTCTGCAATCAGAAGGACCATCATGGCGTCATTGTTTAACCTATGGTAAATGTAAAATACCTGGGACATAAGATGCCTTTCGTTTATGGCATGACCCAGCTTGTTCAGATCAGCACTGAAACTGCTTCAGCGTCTTATCGGCAGAGGCAGGAGCCTGGGGGCTGGAGTAAACATTTGAGAGGGAAGATATCTGAATTCCAGACACTGCCCTAGTACCTACACAAATCACATTTGAAAGATCACTGGAAGATCTGTTAACAGCGTCATGAAAAGACAAATACAGACCTTTCTGGTGCCTTTCTGATATGCGTTTAGATAATAGGAATAAGAAAAAACATGTTACAAAATACCTACTGCAAACCTTTTTAAAGGGTGATGGATGGAAGACCAAGCAGAGGTCTATATGATTTAGCATTAGAGAAAATTAGTACGGCCTGAAATATTTTGAGGGATAGAAAACCTTATTTTAAACTAAAATAACATTTAGATTTTACTATGGCTTTAAGTTAATTTGTTGAATATTTACATAAAATATCAATCTTTGCCATGTGACTGTCATGTGTCTACTTATGATGAGATAATTTGTGGTGTGTTTTACTGGAATGGTATTCCTCTCCTTGTATCCATATATGGGAAACTTCCTGTGTCTATGGCTCACTAAGGTGGTTGCTTAACACACCCACTCATTCACCCATCCATCATATATAACAGCTGATTCCATTAGGGATTCATACAAACACAAAGAAGAAAGGATGAGGTCTTCTGGCATCTATATGGTACTCTGCCTTGCAGTCACAGCCGGCTGTGTTCCCGTTTCCAAAATAACAGAGGAAGATGACATTTTTGCAGAGGTTTGGTTCTTACAGATTATCCTGTAAATTCCTTCAATTTTGTTGACACTGTCTCAGTGGTATATATATATATATATCTTTTCACAGATTTACCTGAAGAAATTCTTCAACCTAACAGAGGAGAAAGGTCCGTCCGCCAGGAGAGGAATCAGCCCCATGAGCAAAAAGCTGAGCGAGATGCAAAAGTTCTTTGGTCTCCGGATCACAGGGACACTGGATGCTGACACCCTGGAGGTGATGAAGAAGCCCCGCTGTGGTGTTCCAGATGAAAAAGTTGCACGTTTTTCTACCTTTGGAAACAACTTAAAATGGAATAAAAAAAGCCTCACATACAGGTGAAATATTTTAGACGACTATGAATCATTAAATGTATCATACCCACTCTGGTTTGATGGTTGTTGTTTTTCCAAACAGGATAGTTAACTACACCCCCGACATTCCCAGGGCACAGGTGGACGACTCTATTTCAAGAGCTTTTCAGGTTTGGGCCAGAGTCACCCAGCTTACATTTAGGAGACTTAACAGTGGCACGGCTGACATCATGATCAGCTTTGGTCGCCGGGGTGAGTGGAAACTCTTTTTCTATTTTTTTTTATTTAGCAAAAAACAAGACACATTTGGGCATAAGATGGCATTTTTAGAGGCTTTGTCAAAAGGGCAAAACTACATCTTCAAAACATTTATTAAGGGACTTCTCGTGAACAGGATATGATTTAATTTTCATTATATTTACATTGACATAGTGCCGGGATCTGTTTCTTGAAATCCATCCTGATCTTGAAACTGAAGGCGGTGTTAGAAACAGTTGCAAACGTCAGTCCTTATTGTAAACACAAAACACAAAGAAATGCTCATACCTGTAGGTGGCATTAAGAACTATCTCTTCTAGTTTGTCCTGATTCAAAGGGGCTCCTGTTGACTGAAAATTAAACATTGTAAAAGAAGACAAAAAAAAACTGAATATGATGTTCTAATTTTAAATAAGAAAACCTCTAGGAAGGGGTTTGAAAAGGTTGTACTGATCAAGATCTGCAGACTAATGGGATTTTTTTTGCAAACAGCACATGGTGATTATTACCCCTTTGACGGCCCTGGCAACACGCTTGCCCATGCCTTTGCTCCTTCTTCTGGCATTGGAGGAGATGCCCACTTTGACGATGACGAGAATTTCACATTTCAGTCAAGAAGAGGTAGGTTTACTAACTATTCATTACAGAGAACAGATTTGTTTTCTTCTCAAAAGTCAATAGCTTACATTTTCCCTGTATTCCCATTTAGGCTTCGTCCTCTTCCTGGTTGCAGCCCATGAGTTCGGCCACTCTCTGGGTTTGGCCCACTCTAACGTTCCTGGTGCTCTGATGTACCCTTTGTACTCATACAGAAACCCCGACACCTTTGTTTTGCCGCAAGATGACGTCCGAGGCATCCAGTCGCTTTATGGTTAGTGTTTAACCAAATATTTAAATCACTGCTGAAGGTTAGAATGGTTTAAACTTGTACATGTTTTTCCAAAAGATACACTATATTTACCAAGTCCCAGCAACAACTGACGTGTTAGATTCTATTTCATATAACTTATTTATCTCCAGGACGGAATCGTGAGGATCCTATGATAGATGAACCTAAGCCTCCCATTACTCCTGATATCTGCGACTCGTCTTTGGAACTGGATGCTGTCACCACTATGCAAGGAGAAATGTTTTTCTTCAAGGACGGGTATTGCCCATTTCCCTCAGTAAATCAGTGCATCACTAATATAAATGATATACAGTTAATGCTTCTGCTATTTTCAGGTATGTGTGGCATAACAACTCTCAGAGCAACACACCCCAAAAAAGTCTGATTACAAGCTTCTGGCCCGGAGCCCCAACAAGCATCGATGCTGCTTACGAGAACCCGATGACTGACAGAGTCTTTTTTTTCAAAGGTATTAACCTCCTTTTTGGTTTTATGTGTGTCTTTTATTTTATAAGTAGCCCTTATTTTATGACCATCTTTTGTCTGAAGGTTCTAAAGTATGGGCCTTCTCTGGAAACAAGGCAGTTCAAGGATATCCAAAGTCCCTCTCTGAATTTGGCCTGCCAAGGTTTCTGAGAAAAATAGATGCTGCTCTTCATGACGCTCAGACTGGAAAAACCTTTTTGTTCATTCTGGGGGGGCGCTATTATTTAACGTGAGTAAGAAGTACTCTGAATTCTACTTTTAGCATGGACTACGTCCTGATTTTATCTTTCTAATTAATACCTGTTTGATTCAGTTACGATGAAAACAGGAAGACTGTGGAGTCGTTTTCCTGGGTAAGCCAGACATTTAATGGAATGTCTAACAAGGTGACTGCAGCCGTCCAGAGCAGAGGTAAATGTAGCACTGCCACCAATATCTGAATGAAAAACTTGAAAAATTGCTTTTTTACGCTGTTATCTTGGATATGATTTGAATTACTTTATTTTTGGAGAAGCATCATCAGAAGACGCTGCACTCCATTGGTATAGAAAATGAAAACTCAAGGGACAATGTAACACCAATTTTGCTGTTTTAAATAGTATAAAATAAAAAAATGTGTGGGATTTTTAAAGTTTTGATCACCAGGTGAAGTGTTCGTTTCTGCACCATTCAAAACAGCATATTTTAGAGGCAGCCATATTGATTTTATTTCATGGAGAGGATTCTTGGGGGTAATTTCACCACTTTTGGGTCTTACAGGTATCAGAGATTTAAATTAAACGGAGCATTCTTCTAATCATAAAAATGGATTAGCTGTTCAGCATGGTCTCGTTTGTGGTTAATTTCAAAATAAAGGCATCAATGGACTGTTACACCACTAATAATTAACAGGGAGGTCCACATCCTTGGAGTTGGTTAAGAACAGGAAATGACATTAATTACTGACCTTAATCCATTCCTTCTTGTACATTTGCAGATTCATGTTATGCATAAATCTTCAGTAAACCACAAAAGGTTTCCAAATATCTAAAACTTAGAAATGACTAAGAGGAAGAGTTGATTCATTCTAGTTTTAATTCTGCCATCCAAGCTCTTTTTAATAATCAATCAATAAACCTTATCAATAGCCAAACCTTATCAAAGTTCAACTTTAATTCTGAATATGGAAAAACAAGCAAAATCCAGAACTACAGTTTTCAGGATAAATACGTAGATTTAAGTTTGATTACTGCTTACATGGAATCTAACTACTAGTGCTTGTTTTTCAGGTTCTACTTTCATTTACAGCGGAGACTACATGTACATGTATGACCTAGGGAGTGGACGGTTGTTACGTGTGCTGAAGAACACCTACCTGCTGGGTTGCAATAACATCTGAAGGCATTATTATGATAATCTAATGTACAGCATGTACAGCTGGTGGTTCACATATATAGTTACATCATATTTATTACATTAAATGTTTATATTTAATTAAAACAGAAAATGAAAAGATATTAACTTAATAGATGTTTCTGATAGAAGACCAGTTGGTAATCTTGTGGCCTAATCATTTGGCTCTATAGAAATAACATGACCATGATGGACTAATGATTTTCACCTGCTGTTACAAATCTCCATAATCCAAAGAAATTGCTGCAGTGGTGAGTTTAAGAATATACAATGAGATAAACACCCCAAAGTTAGCTTTAGCGACTCAAAAAGAAATGTACTAGTTTTTGGTTTTGCACACTTAAAATCAAACAAGCCTCTGTAAGAAATATATTCACTATTTACATGTTCTAAATGGTAAAAAACCTGTCATTTATTTGGATATTGGAAGATGTGAAATGTATGAATAAAAGCTGAGATTTTAACTGATCAAATTTTGTTTTATTCATTATTTATTTTCACACACAAAAAAAAACTAAAATTCCTACTAGAAATGGAATATAAATACATTTAACAGAGGATTGTTGGCCTAGTGGTTAAAGCAGTGCGATTGTGCTCTGAGAAGGTTGTAAGTAGCCGGTTCGATGTCAAAGGTCAGAACAGAGAACCAAGGATTCAAGCAGACAGACAGTACGATATTTCACAAAGTGTTTATTTGAAAACGAACAATCTGAAGTAAGCAGCCAAGGCGTCTAAGGCAGGAACTTCTGCAGAAAATAAACACGTGTTAGTGACCACACTAATCTGACGGAGGAAGATTATAAACATTAGAATCACTAACCTGGTCTTAAAGTTCAGTCTCCGCCCAGAGGATGAGGTGGATTCCAGCCGGACAGCTGCCAATGCCTTGAAGACTTAAGAAATGGCAAGAGAAAAGATTCAATCAGACAAAGGAAGCAGGATAATCAGGAGGGCAAAGCCAAAGCTGGTGCTGAAGAGGTTCAGGAGTCTGGGCCAGGAGATCAGAGATCTAAAGAGGTACTAAAGGGAATCCAGGATGGTGTCAGGAAGCAGATCAAGGTTCAGAAAACAGGCAAAATCCAGCAAGAGTCCGAAGACAACTCAGGCAGACAGATCAGAACGGGGACAGGCAGCCTCAGAGGTCCACAGGCAGAACGGGTCAGGATCAGGCAATCTGAAAAACTATCACTCACTAGTAGACTCTCACCAAGGGCTTGAATAATCACACTGATGACTGGAAGCAGGCTTGTCAAATAGAGACTGGAGTAGGTGACACAGATGAGCGGAGATGAGAAACTGGGAAGAGCTAGGCAGGTGAATGGAATGAACAATCAAGTCCTCAGTGGCCAGATCATGAACCTGTATGATTTCCTTTGAAAATTTGCCACTTTGCATTCATTGCATCCAATATAATATAATGAGGTCTCAAGAATCATGTGAAAACAATTTGGTATATATATATATATATATATATATATATATATATATATATATATATATATATATATATATATATATATATATATATATACAGGTGCTGGTCATAAAATTAGAATATCATGAAAAAGTAGATTGATTTCAGTAATTCCATTTAAAAAGTGAAACTTGTATATTATATTCATACATTACATACAAACTCATATATTTCAGATGTTTATTTTGTTTAATTTTGATGATTACAAATGACAACAAATGAAAATCTCAAATTCATCATATCAGAAAATTAGAATATTGTGAAAAGGTTCAAAATTGATGGCCCCTGGTGCCACACTCTAATCAGCTAATTAACTCAAACCACCTGCAAAAGCCTTTAAATGGTCTTTCAGTCTAGTTCTATAGGCTACACAATCATGGGGAAGACTGCTGACTTGACAGTTGTCCAAAAGACGACCATCGACACCTTGCACAAGGAGGGCAAGACACAAAAGGTCATCGCTAAAGAGGCTGGCTGTTCACAGAGCTCAGTGTCCAAGCACATTAATAGAGAGGCGAAGGGAAGGAAAAGATGTGGTCGAAAAAAGTGTACAAGCAAGAGAGATAACCGCACCCTGGAGAGGATTGTGAAACAAAACCCATTCAAAAATGTGGGGGAGATTCACAAAGAGTGGACTGCAGCTGGAGTGAGTGCTTCAAGAACCACCACACACAGACGTATGAAAGACATGGGTTTCTGCTGTCGCATTCCTTGTGTCAAGCCACTCTTGAACCACAGACAGCGTCAGAAGCGTCTTGCCTGGGCTAAAGAGAAACAGGACTGGACTGCTGGTGAGTGGTCCAAAGTCATGTTCTCTGATGAAAGTAAATTTTGCATTTCCTTTGGAAATCAAGGTCCCAGAGTCTGGAGGAAAAGAAGAGAGGCACTTCATCCACGTTGCTTGAAGTCCAGTGTAAAGTTTCCACAGTCAGTGATGGTTTGGGGTGCCATGTCATCTGCTGGTGTTGGTCCATTGTGTTTTCTGAGGTCCAGGGTCAACGCAGCCACATACCAGGAAGTTTTAGAGCACTTCATGCTTCCTGCAGCTGACCAACTTTTTGGAGATGCAGATTTCATTTTCCAACAGGACTTGGCACCTGCACACAGTGCCAAAGCTACCAGTACCTGGTTGAAGGACCATGGTATCCCTGTTCTTAATTGGCCAGCAAACTCTCCTGACCTTAACCCCATAGAAAATCTATGGGGTATTGTGAAGAAGAAGATGCAATACACCAGACCCAACAATTCAGAAGAGCTAAAAGCCACTATTAGAGCAACCTGGGCTATCATAACACCTGAGCAGTGCCACAGACTGATCGACTCCATGCCACGCCGCATTGCTGCAGTAATACAGGCCAAAGGAGGCCCAACTAAATACTGAGTGCTGTACATGCTCATACTTTTCATGTTCATACTTTTCAGTTGGCCAACATTTCTATAAATCCTTTGTTTTTATTGGTCTTCAGTAATATTCTAATTTTCTGATATGATGAATTTGAGATTTTCATTTGTTGTCATTTGTAATCATCAAAATTAAACAAAATAAACATCTGAAATATATGAGTTTGTATGTAATGTATGAATATAATATACAAGTTTCACTTTTTAAATGGAATTACTGAAATCAATCTACTTTTTCATGATATTCTAATTTTATGACCAGCACCTGTATATATATATATATATATATATATATATATATATATATATATATATATATATATATATATATATATATATATATATATATATATATATATATATATACATATATATCTATAAGGAAATTAAATTTCATCTTATGTCTTCTATTTTCTATGAATGCACATTTAAAACACTACTTTATGGAATTTGAATAAATACCAAATACCAATAAAATCTTTCTCACCAGTTTGTTCAGTCTCGTTCTGTTCCCTCTCCGCTGCCAGGGGCCCAGCAGACAACAGCTTAGAGGAGGTCTGACGCCACCACAGAGTCATAGAAGGTTTATAGCAGGGGCCTGCTCACTCCAAAGGACCTCAGCCTCATCAGAAGGTGGAGGAGGCTTTGGCTTTCCACAGTTTCTATGTCCTGCCCAGACATACTCCAGTTCGTTCCCCACACAGCCTACAATGGTCGAGTCATCAGACAACTTTTGGGGGTGGCAGCTGTCCGTGCTGTAGGTGAAGTCTGAGTTGTGAAGGGTGAAGAGGGACAGAGACAGCAGTGGCCTGGGGGGGCCCGGTACTGCAGACTGTCACCTCTGACTGACAGCCATGCAGCCGCATGTGCTGAGAGCGTTCGTTGAGGTAGTTGATGGTCCAGGCAGCAAGACGTTTGTCCACTTCAGCGTCATTCAGCTTCCCCCGCAGCACCTCTGATCTGATGGTGTTGAAAGCGCTGGAAAAGTCAAAGAACATGACTCTCCCTGTGCTCCCAGTGGTCTACAGGTGAGTGAGTGCCCACTGCAGCAGGTAGATGATGGTATCCTACAGTCCAATGTCCTTTCTGTGCCAACTGTACCTCTATTTTCCTCCCATAGTCCTTCTTTGCTGCCCTGATCCTACATTGGAGCTCTTGCTGAACTCTACGCTGATCTTCCCTGTCTCCTGAGTTGACAGACCTTATTTTCTGGTTCAAGATAACTTTCAGCTCAGGAGTAACTCAGGGGTGGTTGTTTGGAAAGCTCCATAGCCGTCGTTTAGGCACCATGCCCTCCACACAGAAGGTCATGTAGTCAGTGACACATTCAGTCAGGCTGTTGATGTCATAACCATGAAAGCTTGGTAATATGCCCCAGTCTGTGGTTCTAAAACAATCACTCAGTTTCTCCGCGGCCTAATCTGACCAAACTCACACTGACTTTGTCTGCACTATTGTCCTTCTCATCGCTGATATGTAGTGAGGGAGCAGTTATACAAAGTTATGATAAGAGCTTCTTAGTGGAGGGAAGGGGGGCAGAGGTGTAGGCATCTTTAACGTTGCATACAAAAGGTCCAGGGTTTTATTTTCCCTTGTCTTATATGAGATGTACTGGGTGAGCATGGGGAGGGTGGAACAGAGGCTCAATTGAAATCTCCAGTTTTGGGCAGGACAAGAGGGGTGCTATATCTGTAGCTTGGTCACTGTGCCGTTGATCTGCTCGCACGCAGCTATGACGTCCGTGGAGGGGGGGTCGGGGGGTAAACGCAGATGCAATCACGTTGAGACTATAATTAAGATAATACAGTCTCATGCTCACCACGAGTAGCTCCACCTCCAGGAAGCATATCTGTTCTTTCACGTAAACAGCAGCCGCATTACACCATCTCTCATTCACATACATCACCGGCCCCCCTCCAATCTTTTTTCCACTCTTTCCCAGAGCTATTTGGCAAAACAGGACACACACAAAAAAGTACCTGATTTATTTTTTGGTCTTTAGTTAGGTAAATGCTGAAATATTTATTTCTTATTTAATAAGATTTCTACAAATTTCTTTAATGGGAGTATCAATGACAACAAAAAAGTTCACATAAGTTTGAAGTCATCGCTAAGGGAAAAAAAATAAATATATTTTTTTGGATTACTAGTGTGATCTGATATTTATTTTTTTAGCAATAGAGTGGTGTCATCTGTAAGTCGTTTGACTATAATTTCTGTACTCATCACATTCAAAGGCATTTTGTCTTGTTTGTTTTTATTATAGATAGCTCATTCTTATGTCGCTAAAATAAATAAATAAGGTGACATGGAGCAACCTTGCAGAATTCCAACTTTATATGTAAAATTAAAACTAGAACCGTTAGGAAGAATACATATTACTGTGTTATTGAGTCTGGTAATAGTCTCTCTACACTTAATCTCAAGGCCAAATAGTTCAAGTACAGCCAAAATAAAGGGATGTCAACTGAATCAAAAGTCTTGTAGAAGTCCGAACAGATTATCAAGCCTTTATTTTTAATAAGCTCTCTACATTCAATAATGTCCATAATAAGCTATATATTACTATGTATAGATCTATTTAGAGTCCAGACTTCTGTCCAAGAAGTAATACTAGATAGACCTGATTAAAGATCAGTAGAAAAAATATGTCAATAATTTATAGTCAATGTTTCTAAGTAAACTAGGTCTCCTGTTTTCTGTTATTCTTGGGTCTTAAATAGGTTTATTGGGATCATATATCTCCTATCCTAGTTTCTCTTCACTGGCTTCCTGTTAAACCCAGAATAGAATTTAAAATCCTCCTTCTCACATATAAAGCCTTAAATAACCAAGCTCGATCCTCCATTAGAGATCTGATTGTTCCTTATGTTCCCAACAGTGAGCTTAACTCTGAATCTGCAGGTTTACTAGTGGTTCCTAGGATTTCTAAAAGTAGAATGGGAGCCAGATATTTCAGTTATCAGGCTCCTCTCCTGTGGAACCAACTACCAGTATTAGTCGCTGAGGCATACACCTTTTCTATTTTAAGGGTAGGCTTAAAACTTTCCTTTTTGATAAAGCTTATAGTTAGAGTGACTCAGGCTATCCTAAGCTATATCTATAGTTGTGCTGCTATAGGCTTAGACATGTGCTTCATTCTAGCTCTATTCTCCTACTTTGCAGAATCTGTTAGTTCAATCTCCAACATTCTGCTCTCTCTGATTTTTCTCATAGTAGCTTCATCTTGTCTGCTCCTGTTTGGCTGTGGCTCCATCCTTGTGAGAAATATCAACAATGCTGCTGCCATCAACACCTTTGTTTATAGATATTAAAGCTTGGTCTGTTTTTCAGTGTATTTCCATCTCTCTGACTGTGACTAACTAGATGTGCTCTTTTTCATCCTCTGACATGGGAGCTGGCTTGGAGCTCGTCTGCCTGGCTGTATGTTTCCTGGATGGGGCCACCTGTGGAGCTGGTTGACAGTTGCCTTTTGTGTCTCTGCTTCTTTCTGTATGTCTGCTTCTGTCTCCTTGAACCCCAGTCGGCCTCAGCAGATGGCTACTAACTCTGAGCCTGGTTCTGCTTGAGGTTTCTTCCTGTTAAAAGGGAGTTTTCCTCTCCACTGTCACTAAAAGCATGCTACAAAAAGCTCATTGAGCTTTGTGATTATACATTTTGTCTAATTGTGGCTGAAAGCTCAAAAAAAAATTTGTTGTCACTTATGGCATTTTTTGAAATAACCTTTCAATTGATTGATAATATCCTATCCTTCCTTTTCAATGTATTTTTAATCTTTTTTCAAAATTATAAATGTCTGTTTTCTGATTTGGTATTTTGAAAAGATTCTCCCACTGCAGACTTAGATTTTTCTGAAGTCTGGGTTTGATGAATCAGTGATCAGATATTTTGGCAATACGTATCATTTTTGAGTAAACTTGAATATTTTTTTCAGATCTTATTTAATCAAGTTCTTATTTCATTTTTATTATTTATATTAATAAAACAATGGTTAGTTAGGGGGATGCAAATATTGTGGGACTGATATCATTATCTAATAGGAGTTTGGAGATAATCCACTGTCAATTGTAGATTTTAGAAGATCATTTGGACCAAACCAAGAGAGCTGAGTTACTTACTGGTTCAGATGTCTCCAAGTATCAGTTAAATAAAGTTGGTTGCAGAAAGGATCCAAAATAGTATTAGCATGTTTTGGATAAATATATTGGGAAATGTTTATAAAAATAATCTTAAACAAAATTTTAATCCCCACCAATTCTTATATTTTCAATATAATCTGTAATTTTCAAAATCTCCAAGTACCGGTATGTCATGATCAAATCCTGAAGCTTTTTGTTTTCATAAATGTTATTATAGCTAAAGATGTTTCATTAAATCCAATTTCAGATTGTCAACAATAATCAATCAGAGCCCATGATTATCTGCAGAGTATGAGATTAACTGTGGAGGAAAGTTTTTAAGTAAAACAGCTACCCCTGCTGACCTTGAGGTGCCATGACTGAAGTAAGCATTGTCAGTCCATTGCTGAAACCAGAATGAGTGAAATCTCATTTAGAAAAACTTTCTTGAATAAACAAAATTTGCTTGTATAGTTAAAGAAAAATTAATAAATCAAATAAAGGCCATTCCTATGATCCACTCTTGTTGTCTGTTTCTATCGATTACCCACGAGGCTACTTGTAAACACTAGAGGCTAGATGCTTAGAACGGATCAATAGGTGGATGCACCATCATTTTCTAGAACTGAATAAAAACCAAACTGAGTTAATATTTTTTGGACCAAAGGAGGGGAGATAGAGAGACAAGTCCACTTGGCAAAGATGGTCAAGAGGACTTGACATCCACCCCATCCAGTTAAAGTCGATACATCCATCCATCTTCTCCCACTTATTCCATCAGGATCCCGGTGGGGCTGGTGCCTATCTCCGGCAGTCTATTGGCGAGAGGCAGACTACACCCTGGACAGGTCACCAGTCTGTCGCAGGACAACACAGAGACATACAACCATTGAAACACACACTCACACCTAAGGACTATTTAGAGATGCCAATTAATCTAAAGGTCATGTTTTTCGAATGTGGAAGAAAGCTAGAGAATCCATACATGCACAGGGAGAACATAAAAACTCCATGCAGAAAGGCCCCAGGCCAGGAATCAAACCCATAACCTTCTTGCTGCTAGGGAACAGTGCTACCCACTATTCCACTGTGCAGCCCCAGTTTTCAAAACTTTTCACAGTTTAGTTATTCTTTTGGATTGTTTTTGCCACACCTTAAGACTAGGCCTAAAACCTCTATTTTTGAGTTCTCCTCAGCTATCTCTATAGTTATACTGCTATAGTCGTAGAGTGCTGGAGGACATGGGGACCCCTTTTCATTAATCTGGCTCATTCTATCTCTATTCTCCAATTCTGCTGTATTTACTAGTTCAACCCCTAACTGTGCTCCCCTTCATCCCTTTTGGAATGAAAACTTGCTCAGTTTACCTGCTTAACCCATCTGTCTTTCCTAAACAGAGTGACCTACAGTATAGAGCTAGTTTACTGCAATCCTTTAGTACATAGTCATGCTTTATTTCTGCTTCTATATTACTTTTGTATGTCTTATTTTTTTCTTTGAACCCCCAGTCAGCCTTGGCAGAAAGCTGCTCACAGTGAGCCTGGTTCTGCTGGAAGTTTCTTTGTGTTAAAAAGGAGATGATCCTTTCCACTGTTGCTGCATGCATGCTTGGTGTGAGCGATTGCTGAAGAGTTAATGACGCAATATAAAACAAATGTCTACTTTCCCCATATGCTCTGGATGCATCAACTAGTTTTCAATAGATACGTAAAAAATATATATATTTTACCAATCTGACTGGATGATCAGATAGAAATGTTCCTGTGAAGAGCTTTGAGATGACGTGTTGTGCTTTGGTGCAAAATGAATAAACCGAATTGAGCTTTAAATAATAATATAATAATATAATTTCATTATCACAAATTCTGATGTTCTCTCTGCAGTTTAAACATGTGTTAATGTACATTTTAATACAATAAAGCAGCACCTTTTATTATTTCTAATATCAAAAGATAATCGCCATTAAGAAAATCAGTCTTTCTTTTTTACTAAAACTAAGATAAATACTGAAAATCTCAAAGGAACGCTGATTTTTTTTTTAAATTTGATTTAACTACAACAACCATAATGCATCGCGACGATGACGTTAGGGTTAAACACACCCCTCCCTCTGATTGGCTAATGTGGGATTAACCCTTTGCAGGGCACTGTGTGACTTTAAGCTAGCTTCTATTTGTGAGTCCTTTTCTTGAGTCCAAAATGTCCCCCAGCAGACTGCTAAGCATGCAGGCTCAGACCTGTAAGCGCCTGGTAAGTGACAGGTACTACGTTGATTGTATGCTAACAAAGATAAAGTCATTTTAGCAACATAATGGCTTTAGAAGCCCGGAAGAGGGTTCAGCTGTGCTAAATGTTTGTCCTTGGCCAAACTTTAAAGGTCTGCAGCAGCAGCAGGGAGGCTCACCTTCTTTAATTGCATTTATCCTCATCATTATTAGATGATAAAACAGCATTAAATGAAGGTAAACTACCTGACAGCTGTATTAACCTGAGAAACACATTTAGAGCCCAGGACCCCTTGATAGTGAAGTTATCGTCGGATTTGAAGCTCCCAGTTTTTCTTTTGACCAGTGAAATATTTTACAATATTGAGTACATTTGGACCAAAGTCGATTTGTTCTTCATGGAAATGTTAAAACTGGTCAATCAGATGATCCACTGAATCATTTTCCCTCATGATCTAAGTTGGGTTGTGGAGGTTCTGCAGAAGGTGGAGACTTTTTCCTAATCTAGGTCAGACAGTAACATCCACAGTATGACATAAGCTATAATAAAAGCTTTTATGCATCAACTTTACACAAGTGCTAAAGGTCAGACTCAGTGTTTTGCTCTATTTATCTTGCTGGTTATTTTTAGCCTGTAACTAATAAAACCTCAGTTTTTACAAGTTTCATCAATCATAAACTATTAATTGCTATTGTGAATTTTCATGCTCCATCTTGTCATTATAGGCTCACAAATACCTTGCCAGAACCTACACCTCACGGCCTTCTCTAAATGTAAGCACACCTGCAGCATCATGAACTATTGTGTTTGGATCCTTCTTTTAATGCCCTTGTGTTTCTCATTTGACGTCTGCAGGAAGTGGTCATTGTCAGCGCAGTCCGAACGCCGATGGGCTCCTTCAAAGGCACCCTGGCAGCTGTTCCAGCCACCAAACTGGGCTCTGTCGCTATCAAAGGGGCCGTAGACAGAGCAGGTGTGTCTAGACGGTTGGTTCTGTCTAACGCTGGTTTATAGACTTTGGCCTGTAAATTCTCATCAGGGCGTCTTTCAGAAAAGAAATCCTGAAACGAAGATCTCTGCATTAAAATTAGTTGGTGGGTTGATTTTTGTTTTGCGACTTTTTAGGAATTCCTCCTGAAGAAGTGAAGGAAGTTTACATGGGTAACGTGCTCCAGGCTGGAGAGGGTCAGGCTCCCACCCGACAGGCCCTGCTTGGAGCTGGTAGGATCCTGTTGCTACTCCTTAACAAAACGGAGAACAAACTACTGAAATACCGTATTTTCACGACCATAAGGCGCACCGTACTAAAAGGCGCACTCTCAGTTATGTGTCCCATTTCTGTATTTAACACACACATAAGGCGCACCGGACTATAGGGCGCGTTTTTTATATACCGGTACATGTCCTCTACTACCTTTAAATACCTCTACTGCGTATTTAAAAATACAGCGGGGGCAAAACTGAGTATGTTTGTTCTTTATTCATGTATTTATTACAAAGTATTAATCAAACCTGGGAGCTGGCCGTGAGACAGACACATCGCAGATGACAGAGCGCTGTGATCACTCCTAAATTAACTTAAAATCCTGAAACCTGCCGACGGAATATGTTCGCTTTTATTACCGGTATCCTGGTGCCTGCAGTTTAAATTATTTAGATGAAAAACACCTGCCAGCCACCGCGGTGAACCCGGAGACTACCCGGCCTAGAGGCTGCTGTTGAAGGGATTCCTGCTGTTGGTGTACCGCTGGTATGTGGGGGTCTGAGCGCCTCCGACAGAAATAGTATAGGCAGGATAATAATCTGGATGAACTAACTGCAATTATTAAGTTTTCAGGTGGACTTTCTCACTTAAAAACATATTAAAACTACTTTATTCCCACTGATTACAGCAAATATAGCTGCAAGATTTAGATTATTTAGATGAAAAAACACCTGCCAGCCACCGCGGTGAAGAGGAGGAGACCCGCCCAGAGGCTGCTGTTGAATTAAGTTTTCAGGTAGAAAAATAGAGCGGGAGCAAAACTGAGTATGTTTGTGCTTTATTCATGTATTTATTACAAAGTATTAATCAAACCCATCAAAGTCATCATCCTCTGTTTCTGAATTAAACAGCTGGGCTAAATCAGACATGCCAATTTCCCCTTCTTCACTGTCAGAGTCACTTTCCGTGCAGCGCAGCTCCTCAGAAATAATGCCGGCTTTTGCGAAAGCTTGAACAACAGAGCCAGCAGACACGTTAGTCCAAGCATCTACAATCCATCCGCAAACGGTGGCGTAACTTGCCCGTCGCTGCCTTCCACTTATCCTGAAACTGTGGTCTCCGTCTGTCATCCATCGCTCCCACGCCGCTCGCAGCCTTACTTTGAACGGCCGCTTCACACCGATATCGAGCGGTTGAAGTTCCTTTGTCAGACCCCCGGGATAACGGCGAGCACAGCGTTCATTTAATTCACCTTTTTTTTTCACATCGGCTGTGAGATGGGCACGCAGCGATGGTGATGCGTGGAAAAAACCACCTGGTCTCCTCACATACACCTGCCTCAGCCACGCTTTCATCATCTCCTCATCCATCCAGCCTTTTTCATTTGCCTTAATATCATATGTCATCAGAGCGCTGTGTCTGTCTCGCTGTCAGCTCCCAGATCAGCTTCTCTGGTTGGTTGATGCGGCGCGTCCAGCAACAAAACTTCAATTTTTCCATCTGAGCAGCAGCAGCGCGTTGGCGGTGCGTCAGATGCTTAAACGCTCCCGACGCGCAGCGCCTGCAGCTCATAACGCGCTGCGGGACCTTTTGCTGCGCCTATACGCGCGTCAACCATTGCCTTTGCATGTAAACACGCTGCTTCTGCTGCACCTGCTGGGTCCGGTTCACACCGATGTCGAGCGGTTGAACAGCGAGCACAGCGTTAATTTGTTTCCCCATGTTTTTCACATCAGCTGTGAGATGGGCACGCATGGAGTTACATATTAACAGCGATGGTGATGAGTGGAAAAAAAACACCTGGTCTCCTTACATTCAGCCACTCTTTCATCATCTCCTCAATGAGGTGGTCTCAAAAGTCACAGTTACAACACACATAGGGCGCACCGCACTAAAGGGCGCACCGCACATTTTGAGGGAAATAAAAGACGTTTAAGTGCGCCTTATAGTCGTGAAAATACGGTAACAATAAGTTAAAAGTTGGAGAATTATTGAGAGAAACATTTTCTTTTTCTATTAAATGAAAACCTATTTGGTTCTCCAGGCCTGACTCTGGGGACACCTGCAACAACCATCAACAAAGTGTGCGCTTCTGGGATGAAGTCTATCATGATGGCAGCACAGAGTCTGATGTGTGGACACCAGGTGATGCACCCTAAGGACACCATGAAGGGATTTCATTTTTTATCAAGTCAGAATTCTACCAAAGGGCACACATGAAAGAATAATTTTAAGTTTTAGTGAAAACACTCACATGTAAACTACTCTACATGCACGTTTTGAACATTTCATGCATGCAGACATTGTTCCCAACTTGATGCTTTTTTTGCTAAATTTAGTAACTTTTCAGACCTCTCTAGCACCTTCATTTCAATAACGCACATAGTGCGTTAATGGAGATCTATACCCCTTTCCCACTGGCTAAAAAAGTCGTTTAAACCCGGGAAAAATTGGCTTTTAGTGGCCTTTGGAACAGCTTACTGACGTGTCTACCTGGGTCAAACGACTTGTCAAGTGACCCGCGTTTAAATTGTCAAGTGATTTACTTTGCTGTGCTATTCCCACAGTTGAAGGCTTGTACCAAGCAGAACATTAAACTGGGTTCTACTCAATGACCAAATTGTTGTTCAAAGCGCTGCGAAGGCCTATTGTTTCCTCTTATTTTTATTCTTGTGTTATTCACAGTTAATCATTATTAGTAGGTAAAAAAAACCAAGACAAAACCAAGCAAAACAAACATTTACTATATTGCACATTGTTTGTAAGAGTCAGTTCTGAGAAATTTATCATTGAATACATTTATGAAAATAGACTGTGGTTTTACCTTTAAGTTAAGACCCTTTACTTTTTATTATCATAAAAATGCATCAAAAATATTAAAAGCATTTTAACCACGGAAGGAAATTTAAGCAGGTTATTGAACCTCATAGATTACATGAATTCCCAAACATTAACGGTGAATAACCAGTCAGTGATTTTTTTTTTTTTTTGCACATTTGAAATACTTCGCACAGCTCTTTGAAATGCCCGAGTAGAACGGCAAGACTTTTTATTTCTTGCTGCAGTCCTTTTGGTCAAACCAGAAAATTCATCTTAACTTATCGTGATTGATTGCACGCGGTTAAGCTGCATGCTCACGTTCAAACAGCTGATGTAAAAATGGGGTGTTAGCCACAACAAAAAATTGCCTCGGCTCTGATCAGCCCTCTAAATTACGTGACACCATTGAACGCAACATACGGACGTCAACACACCATGTCAGTCGCTTCTGATCTAACAAGTAGAAACAACTCTATTTACATTCGATAAACATGGAGCAGCTCTGGTGAGAGGGATTCAGACAGATAATAGAATGAAACAATAAAGCACACTGACTTTGCGCTGGCTTCCTTCCATGTTGGTTTACGGTTTAGTAAAGTCATCATTAAATAACTTAGTCTTACACAGTCTTGAATGTATGCTGACAGTAGTATCCATAGGCTAGGAAATAGTTAAAGTTAAATCCTGACAGTAGCTTAGCTTTTTATATTGAGGAAGCTTAAATGAACTCTTGGTTTTCTTTTGTGTTTATAAAACTGACAGATATCACTGCTGGATATGAAGTCAGAGATGATCTTCTCACGAGAACAGCTATTAGCCTGGAAATGCTTTGCTGCTACACAGCCAGGAAGAAAACCGTCTGAAGAGACGGGTTTATGGAAAGGTAGCCAATCACAGGCAGCAACTAATGAAAAAGCACTATCGGCTATTCTAAAAGTCACTAGAATGTCACTGAAGATGGTAAACTTAGAGCGATCAGGGCTTTTGTTTTTCCTCCAAAGACTCCAAGCACAGAAAAATGTCGGTAGATTTGTCAATAGTCGATTTTTTTGAAAAAAGTTGCAACTGGGGTCTAAAAAGCTGTCAAATAAAGCAACTAAATCACAGCAGTGCAGATGGTTGACTTTGTTCAGTCGGTTTCACCCTCACTGGGATAAAGGTTGACAGGAATGCACAGATGCAGATTCAAACGTCAGAGGGAGAGAATCTACAGGAGCATAAAAAGCAAGCAAGGACTGCAGAGATGGAGCAGCGATTATATCACCTCCTGATGTTCCCCATAACACCTGCTGGACGCAGCTTCAGTAGAGTCACTCCTCTCAAGTGTTTCCATGTATGTCTTCAGGATGTGATGGTGGCAGGAGGCATGGAGAGCATGTCCAACGTGCCTTATGTGATGGCCAGAGAGGCGCCGCCGTATGGAGGAGTGAGGATGGAGGACCTCATCGTCAAAGATGGCCTCACAGACGTCTACAACAAGTTCCACATGGTAATAAACAAAAAAATGAAAAGAAACCTTCTCACTCTTCCATTGTTCGGCCTCAGGATGCTGCAGTGTGTAACTTCCACAGGGCAACTGTGCAGAGAACACGGCAAAGACCTGCAAGATCAGCAGAGAGGAGCAGGACGCCTACGCCATCAGCTCCTACAGCCGCAGCAAGGCAGCGCAGGAGTCTGGCGTGCTGGCAAAGGAGATCGTTCCAGTTAGCATTCCCCAGAGAGGTGCAGCAGCTGAAACATGTCTCCATTCTGCACAGAGAGTGAGGATAACACTGATGCGTCTGCGCTTCTGTAGGCAAACCAGATGTGGTGGTGTCTGAGGACGAGGAGTGGAGAAGGGTGGACTTCAGCAAAGTTCCCAAACTGAAGTCAGTCTTCCAGAAGGAGAACGGTACAGATAATGATTTTGTTTTTCATTGCATTAGTAATCTTTGAACTACCACTCTTTGTTGTTCTGATGAGTTCTGGTTGTTTTCAGGCACAGTGACGGCGGCCAATGCCAGCACCCTGAACGACGGAGCAGCTGCTCTGGTTTTGATGACGGCAGACGCTGCAAAGAGACTCAACGTTTCTCCTCTGGCCAGGATAGTCTGTAGGAGCTAAACCCTGATAAGAGCTTCACTCTAATAATGATCCTTTATGGGCACGCTCTGATTATCATTCTTTCTTCCTCATAGCTTTTGCTGATGCAGCCGTTGCACCCATTGATTTCCCCATCGCTCCGGCGTATGCGGTACCAAAGGTGGGTGAGAGACGCCCGTTATGCAGCAGCTGGTCAAACAGAAAAGATATTTAGAACAGAATTCTCCTTTTTAGGCTCGTTAGGATGATCCCTGATAGTAGGAATATATTTAGTAACAGAGGAAACGAAAACTCCTCTTTAACTCCAGACTTGAACTTAATTTGGTGTTGAGATACAGCAAACACTTAAGAAATAACAAGGTTTCCATGGGTCACTCAAAAGCATTAGAAGTCATTAAATCAATTTATTTGAAATTGAAGCATTGGATGGGATTATATCCATTAAATGTGATTCATTAAAATCCATAAAATGTGATTATCAGTAGCATTAGAATTCCCTTGATTAAAAAAAAAAAAAAACATATATATGTTTCTTAAAAGAGTTTCAACATATATGTTTTGTCAGAAATATTTTGTTCCTAGTAGTGACTCAAGGGAAAAGGCGTGAGCCGACCTGCTTAAAACTTTTTATAACTCTCTGGTGACATCAGACCTCATCTACACTGTTGTCTGCTGGGCCCCTGGCAGCGCAGAGGGGGACAGAAAGAGACAGAACAAACTGGTGAGAAAAGCCGTTTCTGTCCTGGGCTGCAGTCTGGACTCAGTGGAGGAAGTGGCTGAGAGGAGGGTGCTGTCCAAACTTACAGGTGCTGGTCATAAAATTAGAATATCATGAAAAAGTAGATTGATTTCAGTAATTCCATTTAAAAAGTGAAACTTGTATATTATATTCATACATTACATACAAACTCATATATTTCAGATGTTTATTTTGTTTAATTTTGATGATTACAAATGACAACAAATGAAAATCTCAAATTCATCATATCAGAAAATTAGAATATTACTGAAGACCAATAAAAACAAAGGATTTATAGAAATGTTGGCCAACTGAAAAGTATGAACATGAAAAGTATGAGCATGTACAGCACTCAGTATTTAGTTGGGCCTCCTTTGGCCTGTATTACTGCAGCAATGCGGCGTGGCATGGAGTCGATCAGTCTGTGGCACTGCTCAGGTGTTATGATAGCCCAGGTTGCTCTAATAGTGGCTTTTAGCTCTTCTGAATTGTTGGGTCTGGTGTATTGCATCTTCTTCTTCACAATACCCCATAGATTTTCTATGGGGTTAAGGTCAGGAGAGTTTGCTGGCCAATTAAGAACAGGGATACCATGGTCCTTCAACCAGGTACTGGTAGCTTTGGCACTGTGTGCAGGTGCCAAGTCCTGTTGGAAAATGAAATCTGCATCTCCAAAAAGTTGGTCAGCTGCAGGAAGCATGTAGTGCTCTAAAACTTCCTGGTATGTGGCTGCGTTGACCCTGGACCTCAGAAAACACAATGGACCAACACCAGCAGATGACATGGCACCCCAAACCATCACTGACTGTGGAAACTTTACACTGGACTTCAAGCAACGTGGATGAAGTGCCTCTCTTCTTTTCCTCCAGACTCTGGGACCTTGATTTCCAAAGGAAATGCAAAATTTACTTTCATCAGAGAACATGACTTTGGACCACTCACCAGCAGTCCAGTCCTGTTTCTCTTTAGCCCAGGCAAGACGCTTCTGACGCTGTCTGTGGTTCAAGAGTGGCTTGACACAAGGAATGCGACAGCAGAAACCCATGTCTTTCATACGTCTGTGTGTGGTGGTTCTTGAAGCACTCACTCCAGCTGCAGTCCACTCTTTGTGAATCTCCCCCACATTTTTGAATGGGTTTTGTTTCACAATCCTCTCCAGGGTGCGGTTATCTCTCTTGCTTGTACACTTTTTTCGACCACATCTTTTCCTTCCCTTCGCCTCTCTATTAATGTGCTTGGACACTGAGCTCTGTGAACAGCCAGCCTCTTTAGCGATGACCTTTTGTGTCTTGCCCTCCTTGTGCAAGGTGTCGATGGTCGTCTTTTGGACAACTGTCAAGTCAGCAGTCTTCCCCATGATTGTGTAGCCTATAGAACTAGACTGAAAGACCATTTAAAGGCTTTTGCAGGTGGTTTGAGTTAATTAGCTGATTAGAGTGTGGCACCAGGGGCCATCAATTTTGAACCTTTTCACAATATTCTAATTTTCTGATATGATGAATTTGAGATTTTCATTTGTTGTCATTTGTAATCATCAAAATTAAACAAAATAAACATCTGAAATATATGAGTTTGTATGTAATGTATGAATATAATATACAAGTTTCACTTTTTAAATGGAATTACTGAAATCAATCTACTTTTTCATGATATTCTAATTTTATGACCAGCACCTGTACATGCATGATGGACAACACCTTCCACCATCTGCACCAGACTGTAGAGTAGCGGATCAGCTCCTTTAGTGAAAGACTTCTACACCCGGTTTGTAAAAATGAGCGCTACAGCAGGTATTCATCCCTGCTGAAACCAGACTCTACAATGCAGCACTACAACGGCAATAATTGTGCAATATATAATGTGCAATTACTTTTTGATACCCAGTGCAATAACTGTTTCCCTATATTTGGCACCCAGTGCAATAACTATATATATATAAATATAAATATCCATCTATATAAATACCTTTGTAACCACCTTGTGCAATAATCCAGTGTAATAATCCTACTATAAAAGCAAATAAACTGTCATATGTGGACGCACTGTATATACTGTATATATATCTCTCATGCACCTTTTCCTTCCTTCGGCACCTCCTTTTTTTCCCCACTATTTGAGCTGATTTAATGAGTAAATTTCTCCATTGTGAGATCAAATTTCAAAAGGAGTGGCTCTAAAATGAGGAATCCGGGACATGGATGCAGCCTGTCAACCGTAAAGATGACATTTAGTCAGGTCCGCAGTAGCTGGCGCCACTTTGAACTTGTCTTTGAGTGATATTTGGATTCAATGCAACACTGCATGTGGAGCTGCTGTGGTATCTGAACAAAGCCGTGCCTCGCCGCTCACGCTGCTGATGAAGGTTGCTTTAAATAGTTCCAGGCAACGTTTCCAGATTCAGAAATAGCCAAATCTTTCAGAAACCTGTGGAAAATAAATCTAAAACACTTATTGTTAAAATGCTAACAGAGTCTAATACTCTAAGAAAGATGTACAGGGATAAATGTAGTGAAGTGAAAAATGTAAAGTCAGAACTGGAATTGAAAGCAAACTAACTGAGACACATGAATTAATCCTCTTTAAAAAAAAATGTATGTAGCATATCTTTTTGGATCCAATGTTTTTCATTTCATTTTTAGTGCTGTTAAAATCTTCTCATTGCCCTTTAGAATACATCAATTTTTCATCATGATATTAAGATTATTTCCAATGGCATTAAAAAGCATTGAATTTGAGTTACTAATTTCTGTATAAACCCCAAATTAGAAATAAGTGCTGCCTCTGTTAGCAAGCTGCCTCAGTAATAACTCCATTTTATTTCTAGAGGCAAGAAGAGTTAAAGGTAGATCATCTGTGGGAAGAGACTGACTCAAGTATCTCAGCTTATTCCCACCTGCAGGAAGCTGTCATGGGAAAACTGAAACTGGGGGTCAGACGTACTTTCTATAGAGAGAAAGGAGCAGAAAGGAAAGTCAAACAATGCGCAGCAAATTACTGATATCTGGAGCATAGAAGGAGAAGCGTGAAGGAAAATACTCCCCTATGTTGCTGCTCATTTGTTCAGGAAAAGGAGACGGACTGATTTCCTTGGATCAAAACTTTGACAGATTAAAAAAAAAAAAATAAGCTCAGCTTGACTCCATTGTTTAATTAGTCTGGGATTAAAGGTAGTAATAATGGCCGCGTTAGTTACTGCTTCAGTGTTTCATTGAATGAGTGATCTATGAACTTTCACATACAGAACCGGTTATGTTACAGTAAAGGAAATTGAACAGAGCCTGATATTAGCTGGATCAATCAAAGCCATCACCTCTGCAGGGATCAGAGAATCGCCTACATGACGGCGATCAGCTTATTGGAGCTGAAATGTGGGCGGGTGTTCAACAGGCCGTTAGCACAGACCACGATTCAATGGCACCGTTTCTAATGAGATCTCTAAATTTTCCTGTGATTCCAGGAATCTTTAGAAGCTCCTCACATCATGTAAACTGACAGCTGCCGCTCACATTTTGCTCTTCACGTCGTTCACTTCCTGTTTCACTTTTCACCATAATATTTATTATAAACAAAGAAAAATATCTCCATCTATATTTGCGGCTCATTCACGGCTAAACGCTGCAGTGTTTGCAGATGTGAATGGAATTAATCATTTCATTCATTCATATCAAGCTTCTTCTTTTTCATGCTAAAACTCCCTGTTGTATTTTAGAATCAGATAAAAGGAATGTTTCCTAGATTCTTTGGCATTTTACATAATTAAAAAGTAACTTCATGGTTGCTTTGACCAATAACTAGCAAATTCTACTTGTAACTAGTTACTTTGTGCAGTAATAGCTTTTTGGGAGAAGTAACTAGTATAACTGGGAAGGAAGTCATGGCATTAGGTCACATAAACATATTGGTTTGTAAATTGGCTGTTTTTGGTCTGATGGCCTCTAGCTGTCGTTCTCCATGAAGCTATGTTTGTAAATTGAATTTAAAAAATGTTTTTGTCTGATTCAACATCAGCCTGTAAGTAGTGGTCCTGTCTATTTTTTTACAGGATAGATATAAAAATCTAGTTTTAACGGCATGTTTTGCACCTTTTCTCGGTATGAAGGCGCTTGATGCAGCCGGACTGAAGAAGGAGGACGTGGCCATGTGGGAGATTAACGAAGCCTTCAGTGTGGTGGTGCTGGCCAACATCAAGATGCTCGACATCGACCCAGCGAAGGTCAATGTGAATGGAGGAGCGGTGTCTCTGGGTCACCCAATCGGGTAACATTTCCTCACACTAAAGAGAAATGACACAGTTTTAGGGGGCTCTGTAAACCAGAACCTGCTCTATGATTCTAGCTGTACAGAAGATGAGCTTCAGAATCTGTCCACCTCCAAAGAGTTCTGGGTTTCTGTTGTTAATGGAGGAATAACTCATTTGACTATAAATGCATCCAGTAAAGTCAGCTAGCTCTTCTACTATTAAACCAGGATATTTAATCAAATATTGCAGCCCATTAGTTTTCCAGAATGCTAAGTATAGACTGGTCCACAGTGGCTGAAGAAAGTCTCACAAACCTCCATAAACACACTCAAGCCCATTCATTTTCCTTTACTTCTGAAAATATAAGATTTACTCCTTTTCAAACCTCTACAGTGACTCTTATTCTTAATGTGCTGCAGTTTCAGTCATCTAAATGTTACTTTGATCCAAATATTTGGCATCATTTGGCAAATTCTATCAGTCATATTACATTTATAGGAAATTAAGAAAATACTTTTTCTAAGTCATTGATCTATTTACTCCAATCTAGTTGTCATGTTTTAATGCTGCCACTAGATGGCAGTATTGTAGTGAATTGTTGGCATAATACTGACATGGGAGCAGCTGCTTTGAAAACCCTGATGGTGAGTTGAGGCCGCAGGCAGCAGGTAGTTCCCTGCTCTGCGTTTCAGATGCAGTGTTTACATCCTGCACGCATCATCAAGGAGGTGGAGCTTTAGCCGTGTGAAGCTGCCACCTCACTGACATGAAAAAGCTCAACAATTAGACTAAATGGTTATTGCTTCTTAATGCAGGTTTGTGCATTTTAAATGGTAATTTGGGAAAATAAATGAAAATCTTATTTGCTGCTGTTGTTTCAGAGATATTAAAGATGATTCTTTTTCACCCAGAGGTCAACCCCCCCTTTAAGTTCTGAGACCAATCTAAATCATCTAGCCTGCTTTTTCAGTGCGGCTTCATTTCTGCAGGTAAAAACCATCCTTTGTGCTGATTTGGTTTTTAATTAATATTAATATTTTTAATTATGGTCAATTATGTCACCATCCCAGCAGACGGTAGTGCTGCGCGTGTGTCCTGAAATAAAGTTCTTGCATAACATCACATGTCATTCCTGAATATAACAGTGGGCATGTTTACCTTAGTTAGTGGCTGGAATGATTGTTTAATATTTAGTTCATCTCCAGCCTCTCAGACTGTTTGCTTTTGGCTGACCGTTACCCCTGGCAACCCCATGTTATGTCCTGTCAAGGTCTTGCTGTCTGTCAGCATTTCACAGTAAAAGCACAGATGAAGCTTAACCTCACAAACATGAAGAACTTTTGAATTGCATCAGAGAGACTATAATTTTTTTTAAAAGCCCCAAAAGCTCTGAAAAAAAATCCACATTGGTTCGTACAGACATAGCCCCGATTGGGTGAAACTCCCACCTCAGAAAGCCACCTAAATATCTATTGAGAGCATTCCTTATTTCTACCTTTGTTAACATTATTTTCTAAATTTTAAGTGAATAATGGTTCACCTACAACCATTAGATACCGTCTCACGATTTCATAGAAAAGTTCAGCTGGTTTTACTTTTAGCAATCACCGCTCCTCTCTCAATGTGGTGCTGCTGTTTGACTCCTCAGCTCTAGCTAGTAGCACAAGGTGAGGGAGGAGCAGTGAAAGCCCTCACCGCCTGGTTTGGAGAGGAATTCTACGTGAATCCACCACAGGCCACCACCTCCGCTGTGAACGCACCATTAAACTTACCTGTCTTACGTATTTGTCCCTATATTTTAATGTTCAAATGTAAAATAAATCTACATACGATTTAAGGATGCTTCCCAGTCAAGCAGCTGTAAATAATCTTGGATTGCATTCTGAAAACTGATCTACGGGCCATAAATAGCTGCTTTTCTGGCCTTTTGAAAATTACAACAGAGAATAATGAAGAGAACTGAAATGAATGAGTATTGAAGAGGAGTAAACATTCCTGCTTATGCATTTCCAGAAAACAACTTTCTAGATGCTGTTTGTGTAGCAGGAGTGGCATCGTCAGTCACTTCGTTAATGTAGATATTAGTTTAGATATTTTATTATTGATATTTATCAGACCACTTTGAATAATTTTTTGTTACAGAAATGGCTTTTTATTTTTCAGGATGTCCGGAGCACGGATTGTGGGTCACATGGTGCACAACCTGAAATCTGGTCAGTACGGACTGGCAGGAATCTGCAACGGAGGGGGTGGAGCCTCTTCTATTGTCATCCAGAAGCTGTAGGAAAAGCAGACAGGAAGCAGTGCAGTGCTAATTGTTTGTTCTTCATGTTTAGGACATCAAAATGGGGCCTTAACAAACATAATGTAGGACTTGACTCCATTTGCTGTCATGCAACTCCAGTGATCCTAACACTCCTTAGTTTGTCTCATCCAAATCTCCTAATGATGTTTATCTGTGAAAGAATAAAATTAAATAGTTTTTCAAAGTGCTGCGTTGTTTTGATTGAAAAGGCCAGAAATATTTGTGTTGCAATTTATAAATTCACCACTAGGGGCCGTCAGCGTATGGCTCCGTTTTAAACGTGGACTTCAGAAGGAAAAAAAGGGGAAAACAAACAGTATTCTGAGCATGAGGATGTATGAAATACTCTCTCACTCTACGGAAAGAGGAAAACATAATAAGCTGTTACATTAAAAAAGTAAAGTATTCATAGAGTAAAGTATTTACTCTATGAATACTGTAAGAAATTAACTAGTTTAATTCAGATCCAAATATTAGTTCTAATGAAGCAAAGATTCTGAGCTGCTTCACCTCTCTGCTGTACGGAAGCAGAGAGCGGTCATATTAGACTTCTTTGCCTTCTTGAGATAATGACATAACTATATCTCATTATCACGATTAAACCATTGTTTTCTTGAGATAAGATAATTATGTTATTACAAGAAAACAGTTGAATTCTTGAGATAATGAGATGATTAACATGTAAGAGTAATGAATGAGGCTGGCCAACAGCCCTGGATTCCCAGTCCATCCATGCCTGCGGGGCCCGTGGTTGTGCATTCGGATTACTGCGCGTGCACAAATAATCAGTTTTTTATTTTTACTTTTCATTCATTGTCAGGACGTGGTGGATGATTGGATTACATGGAATAAGGTAGAAACCAATCAGATTATTTGATTGAAAATCTTTAATCTGGACTCATTTTAGGGGTTAATGCATCTTATACAGGTGCTGGTCATAAAATTAGAATATCATGAAAAAGTAGATTGATTTCAGTAATTCCATTTAAAAAGTGAAACTTGTATATTATATTCATACATTACATACAAACTCATATATTTCAGATGTTTATTTTGTTTAATTTTGATGATTACAAATGACAACAAATGAAAATCTCAAATTCATCATATCAGAAAATTAGAATATTACTGAAGACCAATAAAAACAAAGGATTTATAGAAATGTTGGCCAACTGAAAAGTATGAACATGAAAAGTATGAGCATGTACAGCACTCAGTATTTAGTTGGGCCTCCTTTGGCCTGTATTACTGCAGCAATGCGGCGTGGCATGGAGTCGATCAGTCTGTGGCACTGCTCAGGTGTTATGATAGCCCAGGTTGCTCTAATAGTGGCTTTTAGCTCTTCTGAATTGTTGGGTCTGGTGTATTGCATCTTCTTCTTCACAATACCCCATAGATTTTCTATGGGGTTAAGGTCAGGAGAGTTTGCTGGCCAATTAAGAACAGGGATACCATGGTCCTTCAACCAGGTACTGGTAGCTTTGGCACTGTGTGCAGGTGCCAAGTCCTGTTGGAAAATGAAATCTGCATCTCCAGAAAGTTGGTCAGCTGCAGGAAGCATGAAGTGCTCTAAAACTTCCTGGTATGTGGCTGCGTTGACCCTGGACCTCAGAAAACACAATGGACCAACACCAGCAGATGACATGGCACCCCAAACCATCACTGACTGTGGAAACTTTACACTGGACTTCAAGCAACGTGGATGAAGTGCCTCTCTTCTTTTCCTCCAGACTCTGAGACCTTGATTTCCAAAGGAAATGCAAAATTTACTTTCATCAGAGAACATGACTTTGGACCACTCACCAGCAGTCCAGTCCTGTTTCTCTTTAGACGCTTCTGACGCTGTCTGTGGTTCAAGAGTGGCTTGACACAAGGAATGCGACAGCAGAAACCCATGTCTTTCATACGTCTGTGTGTGGTGGTTCTTGAAGCACTCACTCCAGCTGCAGTCCACTCTTTGTGAATCTCCCCCACATTTTTGAATGGGTTTTGTTTCACAATCCTCTCCAGGGTGCGGTTATCTCTCTTGCTTGTACACTTTTTTCGACCACATCTTTTCCTTCCCTTCGCCTCTCTATTAATGTGCTTGGACACTGAGCTCTGTGAACAGCCAGCCTCTTTAGCGATGACCTTTTGTGTCTTGCCCTCCTTGTGCAAGGTGTCGATGGTCGTCTTTTGGACAACTGTCAAGTCAGCAGTCTTCCCCATGATTGTGTAGCCTATAGAACTAGACTGAAAGACCATTTAAAGGCTTTTGCAGGTGGTTTGAGTTAATTAGCTGATTAGAGTGTGGCACCAGGGGCCATCAATTTTGAACCTTTTCACAATATTCTAATTTTCTGATATGATGAATTTGAGATTTTCATTTGTTGTCATTTGTAATCATCAAAATTAAACAAAATAAACATCTGAAATATATGAGTTTGTATGTAATGTATGAACATAATATACAAGTTTCACTTTTTAAATGGAATTACTGAAATCAATCTACTTTTTCATGATATTCTAATTTTATGACCAGCACCTGTACCTGTTACAGGTGTAACATCGGGGCTGTTCAAAAAACACCTGTTGCTGAGGCGCCAGAGGGATTGTCTAATTCCTTATGAATCACAATTCGAAGCAAATCATTAAACCAACAACTTTGTCTTGTTACCTAAAGGTTAAACAAAGGATTATTTACAGAATTACACGTTGAGGTATTGAAGGATGTAATCAGTTTTAACACGCACCAATCATCTCATTATCATGAGAAAACAGCTTTCGTTATCTTTAGATAGTGAGGAAATTTACTTGTTTTATCGAGAAAACCACCATGAAAAAGTATCAGAGGGACACGACCGCTCTCGGCTTCCATACTGATTAATGGAAAAGTGGGATTTTTTTTTAACTGAATTTTTTTTGTTCCAACATTTCCTCTGCTTTTCCTCATATGGCCTCAAATTTGTACTACAAATTTGTACTACAACTGATTTTTAGATCTGTTTTTGCTGTGAAGACCTTACTGGTCTGAAATCCTGATGACTTCTGTTTTTATTTGTTTCAATGAAACATTTATTTTAAAGTTATGTTCAATAAAAACTGACCTCATGCAGAGTGATGTGGAAACACTCCCATTCCATGCTGCTAAAGTCTCCATGCTTTAATAAATACATTTAAAAAAATGAAGCAGTTTTTATGGGATGACCAAGGCTCTACGGAAAGAATCTTCTTTCATTGTGAATGTTTTCCAGGTACGTTTATCTGAAATATGGTGCATGTTTGAGAGAGACGCTGCGAGGAAGTGGTTATGGTGTAAAGCCTTTATTTTTTCTTACTGACTCTTTGTTTTATACTGATGTTTCTGGTGTTTCATCACGTAGGGATCACTGCGGCCATTTTTTCAAACCGTGTGCAGCTGATAGAGAGTCAGAGAAGTTCATCATTTGCTGATTAGTTTTTTTCATGCCTTTCTGGGTCAGAGCTGCCTTTCCTTTTTTCCCAGGCTGATAGATATATAACCCTATTATAAATTTAAACCCACCCTTTTCACTAATAAGTTGTTTCCATAGACTCAAGATCATAATAAATGACTCCTGGGTTTGTTGCCTTTTTAATACTCTGCTGCACCTATTTATGAATCATTATTATTATTTAATCATAATAATATAAGTTATTTAGAAATATGTCTATAGGTTTTATGATGGTGAAGATTTTTATTCATCCAGGTCATAGTCATTCCAAAATATTAAAAAAAAAAAGCAATTCACTGGGCTTTATTTCCAAGTTTGAATTGAAAAAGCTTCCTGGACAGGAAGTGAAAGTCTTAAAAGTTGGAAACAAAGTCCAGTGGTTTAACTTTTTTGGCATGTCTATAGGTTATTTATATATATATATGTATATAAGTTCCACCAAAAATAACTCTGTCAACTACTTTATTTCTAAAAGAATCCATTACTGTGACAAAGTTCTGTGCATATAAAACAAAAAAAAACAAAAAAAAAGTAAATTTCCATTAGAAGAAACAATAAAGCCATAAAAAAATAATCCTGTGTTAAAAGTGTTTTTGTTTTGTTTGACGTCATTTCTAAAAGCAAACCCAGTTCTGACCACAAAGCAGGTGGAACTATTTGCTCTTGAGCCTTTCATGACTGCTGCCAGCTTTTATTTTCCTCTGTATCCCATTTAAACACTGAGTTAAACTTTAACTTGATCTAAAAGCCCTTTAGTCCACCAGGGAATTTAGAACTTAGTCACATGCTTATTTTAAGCGCACAGGTAAAAACAATCCATGTCAAATCAACATTTTAGACCTAATAATATCCATTATTTGTATTTTACTATGACGTCCGGCCTCCTCTGAGAAACAACAGAATTATTACCATCAAGCTTTTAACCCATTCCCTTCACCTATCAGTTCAGAACAAAAGCATTGATACATCTTATAAATTCCTTCCCACATTCGTTTATGTGATTATTTATTTCCCCGGGTGTTGTAATGACCTGGGTTGGACGTCAGACTGATTTGTGTGCACAGTGGAGAAAAAAGGTGTGGTTCCAGCTCCTACAGTAGTAAAGGGGACCGACCCTGCGACAACAGAGCTGAAGGGAAGACACAGCGAGCACTGAGAGAATTTAAAGCCCTTTTTTTTTTTTATAAGTTTGAATCTTTTACATTCTAAAACAGGAGGACCTTAAATCAAGAGCAGTCAGTAAGTTTGGATTCATTTATCTCTGGGGAGTTTCAGGTAATTACCGTTAGTGGATCAACCAGTTATTGGTGAGAAATGAATTATCAGTAACTGGTTGATCCACGATGCAAAGGTTTGGCTTATGAAGCTGATGTTTCATGTAACGTCCTCAGACTTCCTACAGGTCTAGCAGGGTTTCTCCTGGACAGTGAAACAAGTTTCCTCATGTTTTCTAATCAGGTAAGTTTTACATCAAAGTAGCATCAGACATATGACTGAAGTTATTTAGATATGTTCTGATCAAGTTATAACTCCGTGTTTTCCTTTGTTTCCAGGCAAACCAACATGTCTATGACAACTCAGGGTTTCAGAATGACATGGGAAGACCCCTTCAGACCCTCAGCCACGCCGCTGCTCCTGAATACATCAACACCCAGCAGACTTCATCATTTCCCCCTCCGCAAAACAAAAAAGGTACAGAAACATTTGATTTAAAACTTTTGAATCACTGCCTGGAAAGATACGGTGGATGAATTGTAGGTTGATACATCAAACCAGATGGGTGGACATACTTTTATTTAATTATACCTTTTGAAATCATGTTCAGTAAGGCTTTTAAAAACAAGTCCTTGTTTTCATTTAACAAACACATTAAAATATATTTCGGCAAGTTTTTAATATTGTCAAGGGATTGTTCATAAACAACAAAGTCTCTTTTGAAGTGACTTAATAGTAAAGTGACATAATCTGTGTATACTGTAACGTATTAAGGCAGTTTCCTGTAAAGATCTCAGATGTTTGTTAGAGAACATTATGGGACAAGCAACATTATTATAACCAAAGAAAATACGAAGAAGCAATGCAGGATCCTTTCTATAGAAATGGTATAATGCCTCACCTACTGAGACTCGGTCCTCCACCTAAACTGACAACTATTAGTCCTTCACTCTAATCTAGCATTAATGGATCAGTAGGAACAATGGTGCGGTTGTTTGAATAAAGGACTGTTTTCATTGAACACCATGTTTCCTAATGGACTCCAGGACGAATAGCAACAGCTGTGGCTCATTGAACCGCAACTAAATAAATAGGAATTAATTCATAAATATATCAATATATAAATGAATATGAATAGATAAATAAATGGATAAATAAATATATAAACATCAACTAAGGCATAGCAAATATGTAAGTGGTGCTGTAAGACAAAGAATCTTTTTAGAAGCATGTTTGTGGAAAAATTATCTTCTAATCAGCAGAGAATTCATTCGTAGCAATAAAACATTATGATTAAACAGTCCATTCTGGTTAAACCGTCTCATGTCACCTGAGATAACATGATGTGAACTGGAGCTATTGAAATAAACTGAAAATAACTAATGGTGACATCACGCTGTGAGGATTGTTTTTGTAAATACATTAATTGTTTGAAACTCTCCTTTATAAAATATACCCCAAAACACCAAAGTGTCACAAAGTAATGCATTTTTGTTCAACTTTATGAGGTGGGGTGTGTCTCTACTGTGTGTCACACAAAGGATTATCTGATTATTTTTTTGAGACCAAGTTTAACAGTCAGTAGCTGTCCCCTACAACACGCTGATGCCAGTGATGCATCGAGCCTCGTTCCCCCATCAGATGCCGTTTCCCCTGCATCTCTGCACCGTGCAAGCAGCAGAAAACGTGCATGCTTGCTTAAGATGCATAACAGACACCCTTTGCTTGCACCACAGGGGAAGTAAAGAAAGCATAAACAATCAAACGTTAGCCTGTATGGAGAAAGGGAGAGATGAATTGCTAGAGAGAGAGAGGGAGAGGGAGAGAGAGATGGATGGATAGACTTAGACGTAGAGAACTTTATTGTGTGAAAAACAGCTTTTTCATGTACCCCTTGAAATGCCCTCACAGACCACTAGGGGTACGCATACCCCCGGTTGGGAAACACTGATTTAGCTTCACGTTGTTGACATTACCCTTAGGTGTGCACCCCCCTTTTGAAAATCCTGGATCTACCCCTGATTATGGGGAACCTTATAGCTCCTATCCGTATATGTCAGATGGTCCCTATGCTAACTGAATTGGCGCTAGCGTAATGCTTCCCGGCTCCTTCCTGTCAGATCATCTGACTGCATGATCAGATTGAATGGCCTTAAAACAACATGTAACGTGAAATGTTGCCCCGTAAATAAACTGAAAGGAACTGAATGGAATTACTTAGAGGAAGTACTATTCAGTAGCACTTATCGTGGTAACTGTGGATGTACTATACACGAAATCAATTAATCCAGATTAAATTAATCTTAAAAAAAAAAAAAAAAGTAAAAGAAATTATACATTTATCTAAATGGGGTTAAAACATTTTTATCATAAATAACTAAATTACGCAAAAATTTTGGTAATCCTAAACCTGTGTGTCTGTGAGAAAGAAAAAGCAATCTTAATAGAGAAGGCCACAGCACCTGTTTTAAAGTGCATTTGGAAAAGTTGCATCTGAACAAAGGTATTCGGATTGGCAGCAATTACACAAATGAGGAGCCAAATAAAAAAATATACAGTAGTAGACTTTCAAAATTTCCCCACTTTCCTTGATGCGCCCTTGGCTGATCTCCTACAATTCCTTTTTAAAAACCAAACTTTGTACTAAAATATTCTTTCTGTCATGATTTTCGGACATTAAGATCTAAAGAGAAGTGCAATCTCCTGGTTAGACTCTGTAATTCAGTGAAAGGGTGAGGTCAGAGTGAAAACAATATAAACGTCCAGGAGAAGGCCAGTGGCTGGAAGTTGAATGTAATTTCTCTGGGAATTGCAGGGGAGGCTGCTGCCATTGGGTTGGTGTTTGACTGGGAAGGGCCATTTTGAATAGGTGCTACTCTATGATAACAGGTGAAAAGTCTAAACATAGATAAGCACTTCATAAAAACATAAAACAAGACTAAATTCTCTTGGGTCCAACATTCAGTGCATTGTTGCTTTCAAACTGAGCACATAGCAACAGCTCATTCAGACAATTATCAAACACGGGGTTGAAGGAGTGATGATTTAGGCTTATATTCTAGCCAGAACACCTCTGAGTCTTGCAGTCATTTAGCTGTCCATTAACCTCTTTACATGAGAGGTCATTTATATAATATTTAAAGCTCTTCAAGAAGAGATTCAACAAGACGGGATTTCTTTATAAAAAGTTTTCTGCACTACTTCTCTGAGATTGATTCTTGTGTTTAGTGTAAATAAAAGTGAGTTGTTGTTGTGGTTAGAAAAACCAGACCAGTCCCTCTCAGTCTGTTCATTGTGCAGGTGTTAGTTTCTGATGTCTTTCATTTGCATTCTAATTTGAATTGTTTTTATTTCCGCAGGGAGAAAAACTTTTCCCTGGAAGTCTATCCTCTGTGGATTTCTGTGTGTCCTTCTTGTTCTCGCAGTTCTCGCCATCTTGCTCTGGTACTTCTGTACGTTCTTTTAAAGAACACTCTATCAGGCTTTTTGACTTTAATATGTTACTGTTGTAGTAAATTTCCTGTGTGTTTGCAGTATATTACCAGTGTTCATTTGGGAAGTCCTGCAGTCCTGGTGGCGTGTGTCTGAGCACCACCCAGTGGTGTGATGGTGTAAAGGATTGTACTGATGGAGAGGATGAATCTCACTGCTGTGAGATATTCATGTCAACACCTTCCCTGTTCCTCTCTAAGATATGTTGTCATGTTTAAGTGTGTTGACCTGCTGTTGTTGTTTTCTCTTTATTTTGCACAGTTCGCCAACGTGACACCGATTTCTTGCTGGAAAGTTATTCTTCAAACAGTGATGCCTGGTTGCCTGTGTGTGCTGAGAACTGGGATGTCAGTTATGGCAAAACTGTGTGTGAGCAGATTGGCTACAGCAGGTAAAAAAATACTTTTGGCTAATTTAAAAGGTTTATAAACTCCCTACATTTCAATACTGGTTTCATCAACAGAGACGCTCTTCCATTCAGTGGTCAGTTTAACTGGACAGCCAGAGCCCCTGTTTAAATTACACATAAGTGAATATATACTGTTTTGGTGATTCTATTGGTACTTTTCTGGCCCTGAACTTTACTTAAAGGGTTTAGAAAAATGGCCGAACATGTGCTCTTTTTTTAAGATTTTCTTTTTTTAAAGATAATTTCCTTTCTCACTAAATATTTATCCACATTTTTATTGCAGTGTTTTACATAAAAACAATTATGTTTGTGGTTAGAAAAAGATAAGAATGTAAACGGAATCTGAATACATTTTATTAGTTATTATAAAGAGGAAAACGTTCTGATTAATTTACTATACTAGAAATCAAAGAGTTTCCTCCAGATATTTCCTTTTCCTCAGTGTGGAATCAAACCAAACGGTAATTGCAGCTCATATCTGACCATTATGTAAAGGTTGGTTCCCAGGCGATAAAATCTTTTTCTTAATTATTAACTATTGCCAATGATCATCCACCATTGATTCCTCCACCCGTTTACAGACTCTGGATGTCGATCATAACCGAGTCAGGAGAGTTTAGATGAGGGAACTGGGAGGGTCGATAAATACAGTGTGGCCTCCAGTTTGTTTGTTGTTTTTCTTTCTGTGTGACATAAATTCTCTCTCTGCATACCTCTGTTACACAAGCCAAACACAACTTATGGAGACTAAAATACATTGGAGTTGTTCAGAGATCCAACCTCAGCTTCTCAATGTAGAGCTGAGAGAAAAAGACAGGCTCCAGTTTTTATAGTGATCATGCTGTGGGATATTGGAGGTGAAAAAGTGCAGGAAAGATTTGGTATTCTGTTGTGGGCTTCGTCTCCAAGGGATAGGCTCACTGTTTGTCCATATCTGCATAATAATCCAGTTACAAATAACCTTTCACACTGAAATGTGATTTTTTTTTCTTGCTGTGTTCTCAGTGAACTACTGATTTCTGAGGACAAATTCTGGTATAGAGAACCTAAGAAAACTGTGGATTTTGGTGGTTAACTCTGCAAACTGTGTTGATTCTTCACTATCACTTATTTTGTACAAATTCAAACAAAGACATTGTATTTTCCTCATGTTTATGCTAAGTGATTCCTGTATAATATGGCCTCACCACTTCCTGTCTCTGTGAATCTTACAGGACAGATTTTAAGAGCTCCAGTCAAATCAGCACGAGCATTAATGCCCCCGACGGATACCTGAAGCTAAAGCCTGGAAGCAGCAGTGTGTCACCAGTACATTCACAACTCCTACACAGGTACAGCTACATCCTGATTTTATTCAGGATTTATTCAGAGTGAACTCATTAAATATATCCCTCCTTACCTTGCAGCCCAGGTTGCTCAGCCCAAGCTGTCAAACTGCAATGCATTGGTGAGCTTCTAACTGCAACAGTACAAAATAAGATGTTAGTGCATGACTCAGCAAATCATCAGGGATCCTTTCTGTTTAAAATAAAGCTACATATTTAATTACAACTTTTGTCTCTCTGTGACTTGACGTGCAGAATGTGGCACGCGTTCAGCAGCTTCCAGCAGTCGCATCGTAGGCGGCAAGGAGGCTGCGATGGGCGACTGGCCGTGGCAGGTCAGCCTCCAGAGGGGAAATATACACGCTTGTGGAGGCTCCATCATTAGCCCAAACTGGGTCCTGTCTGCAGCGCACTGCTTCCATCCGTGAGATTCTAGCTAACATTGTTTTTATCTAATGCAACTGATGGATTGATTTTAGCATCTTTGCAAACAGACACTGTATGCAGTTAGTATGTGAATAAACCAACCTGAAAGGAGACAACGGTTTTTGGAGAATAGCACAGAAACTTTTGTGAAGAATGACATCACTGCAAAAGTTGTCTAGCTAACCCAGTGTTACAGTCTTAGATTTAGACATAAAGTACACTGGTCAAAAAAAAATAAAGGAACACTTTGTAATCAGAGAATAGCATCAAGTTAATCAAACTTCTGGGATATTGATTTGGCCAGGTGAATAGCAGAGGGGGTTGTTAATCAGTTTCAGCAACTTTGGTGTTAATGAAATTAACTACAGGTGCACTAAAGGGGCAACAACGAGACGAGATCAAAACAGGAATGGATTTACAGGTGGAGGCCACTGACATTTTTTCCCCTCCTCGTCTTTTCTGACTCTTTTTCACCAGTTTTGCATTTGGCTTGGGTCACTGTCACTACTGTTAGCATGAGGTGCTATCTGGACCCTACAGAGGTTGCACAGGCAGTCCAACTCCTCCAGGATGGCACATCAATACATGCCACTGCCAGGAGGTTTGCTGTGTCTCCCAGCACAATCTCAATATCAGGGAGGAGATTCCAGGAGACAGGCAGTTACTCCAGGAGAGCTGGACAGGGCCGTAGCAGGTCTACAACCCATCAGCAGGACCGGTATCTGCTCCTTTGTGTAAGGAGGAGCAGGAGGAGCACTGCCAGAGCCCTACAAAAGGACCTCCATCAGGCCACTGGTGTGAATGTCTCTGACCAAACAATAAGAAACAGACTTCAAGAGGGTGGCCTGAGGGCCCGACGTCCTCTAGTGGGCCCTGTGCTCACTGCCCGGCACCATGGAGCTCGACTGGCATTTGCCACATAACACCGCAATTGGCAAGTCTGCCACTGGCGCCCTGTCCTTTTCACAGATGAGAGCAGGTTCACCCTGAGCACATGTGACAGACATGAAAGGGTCTGGAGAAGCCGTGTGGAGAACGTTATGCTGCCTGTAACATCGTTCAGCATGACCGGTTTGGTGGTGGGTCAGGGATGGTCTGGGGAGGCATATTCATGGAGGGATGCACAGACCTATACAGGCTAGACAACGGCACCCTGACTGCCATTAGGTATCAGGATGAAATCCTTGCACCCATTGTCAGACCCTATGCTGGTGCAGTGGGTCCTGGGTTCCTCCTGGTGTACAGCAATGCCCGGCCTCATGTGGCGAGAGTATGTAGGCAGTTCCTGGAGGATGAAGGAATTGATGCCATTGATTGGCCCCCACGCTCGCCTGACCTAAATCCATTAGAACACCTCTGGGACGTTATGTTTCGTTCCATCCGACACCGCCAGGTTGCACCTCAGACTGTCCAGGAGCTCAGTGATGCCCTGGACCAGATCTCGGAGGGGATACCCCAGGACGTCATCTGTTGTCTCATTAGGAGCATCCCCCGACGTTGTCAGGCATGCATACACGCACATGGGGGCCATACAATTTACTGAATACCATTTTGAGTTGCTGCAATAAAATTTCGACAAAATGGATTAGCCTGCTTTCTCTTTTCACAGAATTTTTGGGGTGTCTTTGAATTCAGCCCTCTGTAGGTTGATAATTTTAATTTCCATCATATGATGTGGCATCCTTTTGTTCCTAACACATCACCCAGACCATGTCAGTATAAATAAACCGCATAATTTTTTCCCCCATTGAGATCTGATGTGTTTTCAAAGTGTTGCTTTAATTTTTTTGAGCAGTGTATTCTTTATCTGCTTTTGAGATTGACACACTAAACCAGAGCAGATTCTTTTAGATAATTAATCTGCCTCTGAGAAGATTCTTCTCAAATAAGTGCACTAATCTGACAATTACAGTAATAAGATTTCATGATAAATATTCTCAAAACAAGAAGTAGAAGTAAAGATTTGGTAATTAGAACATTGATGTATTGCTTAGCAGTATAAATATGACTGAACTTTTCCAATCACTGCCTGCCTTATGGGATAAAAATGAAAACTAATAAAGATTTTAATCACAACTAGAAAGATATCATTTAAATGTGTTTTCTTTCACAGTAACACAGACCCTACAGTGTGGAGGGTAGCCTATGGGCATGTGAAGCTGTCCGAGATGGTCTTCAGGAGCTTAGTTCAGAAAATCATTAATCATAAGTATTATGACCCTGAAACGAATGCCTTCGATGTTGCTTTGCTGAAGCTCCAAGATCCTATAACTTTTACATGTAAGTGTTTCTTTTTAATTTCTGGTATTACTCACAGAATGTCTTTGGGGACAAACATCAATTCAGATTTATGATGTGTCTTTATATACCAGCAACAGTTAGGCCGGTGTGCCTCCCCAATGTTGGTCTGAATGTTAATGAGGACAGCAACGCCTGGATCACTGGATGGGGGGCTTTGTACTCTGGTGAGTTACCTGAACATGGCTGCCGTTCTTTCATTTTATTCTGTGTTCAGGTTTATTCTTCCACATTTATAAAACATTGAATCCATATGAACCAGAGTTTGGCTTCCAGTGCAAGAAGCGTTGTTGTCATATTCCATTCAGTTTGTCACAGATTTTTTATTCATTTTTCTCTCAGGGTCATCAGTTACTCCTAATAGCTTAAACGAGGCCCAGGTCACTGTTTACGACAGAGACACCTGTAATGCTGGTAGCGTGCTGGATGGGAAGGTCACTGAGACCATGTTCTGCGCCGGCAAACTGGAAGGAGGCGTCGACAGCTGCCAGGTCAGCAGGAATTCATGCTATGATAGATTTTTTTTTACTCCCTTCTAGTACTAAAGCCTCTGGAAAAAGAACGTCTAACACTGACCATCTACTAATAGGTATTATGGTCACAGATTTTTCACCAATAATAGGAAAATTGTTCCTCATATGGCCCATTTTTATTTTTGCTTCTATGCTCAAGTTATTGAATCAACCATTAATAAAAAAAATTTGCAGGTTAAAAATGGAAAGTTTTAGATTTTCTTTTTGTTAAATGTTTATACATTTTATAAATGGCTAATTTTACTAATCTTACTCTCTTTGTGTCCAACTTTTACATGAATATATTTCATATAAATGTCCGTGGCCCCCCATCAAAAGACCTTGCCCCCTTTTCCATCATCATTACAAATGTCTAGCTATCCCATGAAGATTTGTCCATTAAAATGAGTCGATCGCCTACCAGTTTGAGAGTGGTTATAAAAAATGATTATTAATAATACTATATACTTATAGTGCGCCTGTTATCCCCTCTCACAGTTCTAAGAATGCAACTAAAACAACAAATAAAACCTGCTTCTACAAGAGGGGGATCGATTGAGAAAGAAACCATCAAGACCTGATTTCTATGCTGACATTTAAACAAACATACATGCAAATAAATAGAACAAAAAACAGTAAAGACTTTTATCAAAGCATTCAGTCATCTTTGCAGATTTACTACAGTAGCAGGCTTTCAAAATGGCCCTTTCAAGTCAAACGAGACTTCCCTCCAACTTCCAGCGAAATCCCCCCTAACTTCCAGCCACTGGAGGGACCCCTTCCTCCTCCTGGGTGTGCATTTTTTTTTTTTTTTACTCTCCACCCTTTCACTGAATTACAGGGTCTGACCAGGAAAAGGTGCTTCTCTTTAGATCCTAATGTCAACAAATCATGACGGAAAGAATATTTTAGTACAAAGATTGAATTTTAAAAATGAATTGTAGGAAACCAGCCAAGGGCCCAAAAACCAAAGTGGGGAAATTTTGAATGGCTTCTACTGTAACAAGTCAAAAAAATATTCTTATTCAAAGAAATTCATCATATCCTGAAGATCATGATGTCAATACAGGTTTTTATAAATATTCGCCGTTCGTCTGTAAGTCAAATGCTACTCATCCAGGGTTTGTGGACCGTTTCTGCCTCAGACGTACCACATTTGGTCCCACAGTTCAGCTGAAAGAATAGCACTTTATTAATCAATGATCCGTTTTTAGAAGTAGATTTTTACTATTTTATGGTTTTATGTTCTTTATTCTTTACCGCGGGTCACTGTATGAATTTAATATTGAATTGTGTTTTAGTTTTTCCATGTTCCTCTTGAAAAAAAAAAAGATTTTAAATATCAATACATTTTTATCTGAAAAAAATAGTTTTATATTATTTATATTATTTTTCCTGACTTAAGAAATTAAATTTATGGTGTTAAGAACTTAGGATGGCTGCAAACACTCCTGAAAGCATTCTTTGCTTCTTTTTGAAACCATAATATCACATTTTATTTGTATTTCTTACACAACATCCTTAGATCTTTCTATCCTGTCTCCTGCAGGGCGACAGTGGAGGACCCCTGGTAGTTAACAAAGGAAATATATGGTGGCTCATAGGGGACACCAGCTGGGGTTATGGATGCGCTATGAGGAACAAACCAGGAGTCTATGGCGATGTAACCTACTTTACGGAATGGATATATAAACAGATGCAGGTACGGCGATGTACAGTCATAGCTCTTTAGCTTACCTGATGTTTTTTCTAATCGGATGTTTCAATTTATCTAAGATGCAGTTTGCATGTCAGCAGTTTGTTTTCCTTCATATGAGCCTTTTAGTTGAAATTGTTTTATTTATAAAGGGCTTCTGAGAAGTTAAACTTGTTTTTTGTAACTTGTTTTAATTTTATGTTAAAATAGACACGGACATGTACATCTCATCCTGCATTTCTGCTTTAATCTTCGCAGAATCAGTGAAAAAGACGAGGCTGAAGACCGTTTGGACCTATGCACTTTTAAATGAAAACTTGGAGAAAATCTACTGATCAATGAAAACTTTTACGAAATGAATGATAGAAATAATTCTTAAAGTTTAAGGGGTTTTTTTGTACATAAACATTTTATGTTTGTATTTCGAATGATTTTGCCTATTTATTTATTTTATTTTTTGTGATGACTTGAAAACAACAATGCAAATCTGAGAGGCAAATATAACATTATTTGGTCAAATTATATTCTATTAAATTATGAGCATATGAGGAAAACACATAAATGAAATGAAATAAATGTTGGTTTAGCTTTATAAACGATTGCTCAAAACATGTTGGCATGGGGAATGATGGAATCGCCATTAGCATCTTGTTAGCTTGGCTTACAAAACAGTAAACACATGACATCAAAAATGATTGAAACCCCAACTTTTTAGCTGGAAACCCTCCCTAAATTTGACAGACCTGTAACCTCCTTTTATTTGCAGTATTCAGTAGTCTATCATATCAAGCCTACAGCAGAGAAGCTGCCCTTTCCTTACAGACGTGCCATTCCTAAGGTCTCTGGTATCTTAAAATGCCCAATAAATGCTGGGAGAAATGTTGAATGGTCTGGTTTTGCAGTAATCTGTTTCAGAAATTAACCATCCACTCAGCCTTTGATCTTACTGCAGATTCAGACTCTTTGGCCCTGTGGTCTTCCATACTGGTGTCTCCCTGGTGCGAACCTCAAGGGAGTTTCACAGCTAAGAGATTGAGAGTACATGAGGTAAGGCCCAGTGGCGTAACCCGGACGGATAGTTGGAAAAGAAAAAGAAATCTTGCCACCCCTGTTGCCATCCCGCTGAAAACATTAACAGTGTTTTAATTTTACAAACATTTGCGAAGACAACAGTCAAATTTCCCAGAGGACTTGAATGCATCCTCATGCAGCACCTTCTGCTACACTTTTAATTGGTTATGCTGACATGCAGTTCCTTTCCAAACGGCTCCAAAAAGCAACACGGCCGCGGCACATGGGATCAATAAAAAGCATTTACTTTGCTGCTAGTATGTACGTTTCTTGGTACAAAATTAAACAATATGCTCTTTTAATGGGAAGTAAGGGAGACTTTGCACCACCGTGCCTGTACTTAGTATTACCTATGAGTATTACTACTTTAATTACTAGTCTCATGAAATGGACAAATACGTCACACTGACTTCATACTGGCTAAAAAGAACATGTTGGCAATGTGATCAGCAACATTCACAGAAATTAGGTAGAATTATTCATATTGGTATGTGTAATGCAGCATTAATGCTACATTACAAAGAGGTTTTCCATTAACTTTATAGGCTGAGTAAAATTTGGCTTCTGATTCCAGTAAGCACTGCATCCTGCAAAACAAGTTTCTCTGCCCCTAAATAAAAAAAAAGAAAAAACACCTTAGGAATACAATGGCCGATGATAGATGAATTCACCTGGGCATACTCAGTGTTGAGTCAAGGAGGGCTTATTCCCTTTAAATATGGAAGTCTTTGTAAAACATTTTGCTTCATCTCACCGAAACCGCAGAATTTTGCTGTTCTGATTGTTTTTGTGAACTTGGTTGTTGTCATATCACTGGGTAGTGGTCAAATAAAGTGCATTTTAAAGGGCTGTCCATTTGACAGGTACATATTTACCTCAAATTTTTGTTTACTACCAGATTTGATTAGTCCAAGGAGCACATCAAGTACTTATTTATTTCTATATTTGCTGTATACTTAATTTTCAATACATTGTACAGTACATAATTGTATACATTTTGAAAAATAAAAAACTTTAATCAATAAACATTTAGGAGAAAATGATTATTGTTTGTGGTATAGCTGAACCCTTTATATAATGACCACCCTAAATAATACCTTGCTACCCCTGTTTTAAAAGCCTAGCTCTGCCACTGATCTGCTTGGGGGCTTACTGAGAGCCTTGGTCTTTATCCCCAAGCACAATGGGAAGCAGGATCACATGACCCTATATACAACACAAAATCTTTCACAGAGTACACTATACAAGTCAAACATAATTCATAATGCACAAACTAATGTCTGTCCACAGGGCAGAGGCAACAATCCTGACAATTAAATTAATCCATTATGGTAATGTACACCTGCTCAGAAGTTCTGGGTTCAGATATGTAAGGACTTGTCGGAGAGCCCTAGTTGTATAATACCACCGTCCCCATCAGTTTGTTTGCTTGGTAACTTTGATGATAGCTCTTTGGGGGAAAAAAATGGTTTACATGGTCTTCACTGCCCTATGCATTACAAAGAAAATTATCCTCATGAATTGGAAGAGCAACAAAAATAAACAATAAGTATAGAGATCTTTTGCTGGAACACATTACTCTTGAGGCAGCAAGAGTTACTCTGGGGTGGGGGGGGGTGATTGTGTAGGCCTCACCCCTGATGGCTCGCTCTATCCCCATTCAAATGGGGGTTAACATAATCCATGTAAAATAAAATCAACATAATATAAGGCTTAATTTAAACAGCTTGGCCTTTTTTTCAGTGTAGTCCTGTTTCTGTCCCTGTGACTGACTGGATGTGCTTTCTTCATTTACTGACATGGGAGCTGGCTCGTAGCCCGTCTGCCTGGCTGTGTTTTTCCTGGACGGGGCCGCTTGTGGAGCTGGTTGACAGTTGCCTTTTGTATCTTTCTTCTTTCTGTATGTCTGCTTATGTCTCTTTGAAGCCCAGTCGGCCTCACCAGATGGCTGCTCACACTGAGCCTGGTTCTACTGGAGGTTTCTTCCTGTTAAAAGGGAGATTTTCCTCTCCATATTCATTACAAGCATGCTTGGTGTGAGTGTGTGCCAACCTGTGCTACACGAAGAAGTTGGAAAAAAAAAGGCAACTAATTCCAATTTATTTGTGTATGAAAAAATCTAAATTGATACGATATGAAGGGTTTTCAAATGGAAAATGGCCTGTACTATTATGGCGCTTTTTCAAGTCAGAAGACTTGACCAAAGCGCTTTACTCTTTACTCCGCTTTACTCCACATTCCAACACACACTCACACTCGCCACTGTCGCCAATGTACAACAATTAGAAGGGAAAACTAAACTTACCATTCATATCTTTTGACATTAATGAAAGAAAAAGACCTTCTGTGCCTCAGCGTGTAGCATGAAAATTATCCTTTGACTGGATTTTTGCAGAAAAAAATTTAATTCCTGTCTATCATTATTATTATAATCTGTTAGAAATATTATGCTTTGTCTGATGGGGAGGCAAATAAATGATTAATAACTATTGATAAATGATAATAATCAAAGGGGAAAAAACTAGAAAATGGCTACTACTACAAGAACAATATGAAAACTAAAAGGAAAAAAGTTTAAATGTGGCAAAGCACCTCATTTTATATATACGGTTAAAATGGTTAAATTTGTGGGAGTTTTTCTTTATTTTTGAAAGGACTTTGGACTACATCACTAAGCCTACTTCAAACTAACATGTCTGAACAAATTGGCTGTGTTCTAACAATGGCTTTTTAATGGGAAGATTTTTTTTCATTATTTCAAATCCAAATGTATTAAATTATATTTTCATCGATCTGACACCACACACATATGTACAGCAGGGGGCGGTAATCGCCTGTTGTTTAAGCTTGAAAAGTCCATTTTAGCGAACTAGATGTGAAGTTTTCTAGAAGAAGTTTCTCAACTCATCTAAGAGTTTTCTTCAGTTCTAACTAGTGGTGGGGAGCACTGAGATTAATATACTGTAGATAGAACATATTAGGGGGGGGGGTTGTGGCTCTGGTCCCTCCACTGGATTGGCCATGGAGGTCACCTGGGGGGTTAATGGTGATTAGGATGGGTCATTAACTTCCTCATGAGAGCGGTTTTGGTCACATACTTCATTGAAGTGTGAGTCAGGTGAGGGTGAATGAGAGGTGAATCTTCTGGGTATTGTTCCTAAAAGCGCTTCCCACGTAGGTCATAGGTTATGTCAAAGACCACCTCCTCTGCTAAGAGATGGTTTTTCCAGGTTAACAAAGATGGCTTCCTTAGCCCCTCTCTCAATCCATGGCTCTGTTTGAATATATGGTCTGCGTCTTCCAAGGAAGCGGTCTACCTGGACTGGATCCTTCGAAGTCCGTGAAAACAAGGGGACCGGAAGAGCTTTGGCTTTGAATTTAAACAGGTCTAGCCTTTGCCGGCTTTTATCGCCGTACGCTCTGTCACTTAGCAGCCGTGACAGTCGACACACAAAGCAGGAAAAGAATGAATCTCAAACTTTTCAAAACAGCTTCATTTTAATTTTATTTATTTATTTTTTATTGTAAAGTGAACAAAGACTACACTCATGAGAATCCAAAGTGGAATAAAGGTGCCAACCACCGGGAGCATGAACAAATAAAAGCCAATGTCATGATAGAAACCTTAGTCAGTTAAATAACATGCTGCTGTAATTTTGCACATCTCTGATGTTGCTGCTATTTTCACATATCCATTACTGTAAAAATGTCCATAGCTGTATATTGGTTATTTATTCTCCAGGTGCACAGTTTTAATATTGTTAAAACACTTTACAGTACAGTATTTTATTATTTATCTTTCAACTCTTAAATATTATGTTATTCTTATAAATTTTTCAAGGTCCAAATTTGTATGACCATTTTTCCTAATTTTTTTTTTTTTTGCTACCGGTACTTTAAACACTAGAATTTCCCGATTGTGGGACGTTAAAGAGATTTTCTATTCTGTTATATTCTATAAAAGGGGTAGAAAGATATACCGTAAGTAAATCTAAACAATGTATGTATAAAGAAATATATCTGCAAAATCTCTTATATTCAACAACAAAAAATGCATAGCAATATATCCAGGGAAGGATGTAATAGCAATAAAAAAAATAAAAATCCTGTCAGATTTATAGTCCCCACCCTGCAGATATATTAGAATCTGTCCTTAAATTACAGCCAAACCCATTTACACAGTAACGGATAAAGCCCTTTAGATTTACCCTTTAGATTACTTTTTCATAACTGCAAAGATGTATTGTCAATAAAACCAGATTAGGATATTCAGCAACCATGTTGGACCTTTGATGAAACAGGCATGTGCAAGTTTCCTACTGGCATGCAGCCTTTTCTGGCATATGCCACTTGTCAACTGGTATATACCAATGTTTTAAACGGGCATGCCAGTAATTTTGGCTCTCGCTGTCACTTTCATTTTCAGCAACCACCGTGCATATGACTTGGGCTTAATCTGTTAAATTGGTGATGTTAATGTCACACATCTTTCTAAGTTGTCCTAGGTCACAAACTCTTGGTGTTCCTCTTGTTCTCCTCTGCATTTTGATGGTGGAAAGCTTTCACCTATTCAACCAGCTCCAGAATACCTTTCTACTGCAGCCTTGTAGCAAAAAGCATTTATCAACCTCCTCCGCCGTAGTGTCTTCCTTGGTTCTATGCTGTTACAGTTTGACTCTATTAATCATACTTTTTTATATTAGTGTAACCAGAGTTAAAGAAATCAAAGAAACGCCAAAAATACTCAACCATCAAAAAGAAAGATATTAATTCAGCATGTAGTATGGATGAGTAGAGGGGGAATCTGTTTCACTTACAAACATAATTTGCCTAGTAACTATGTAAGGTATTCTTACAGATATCATGAATCAAAAATCAAAACCATGTAAGTGTGCACACACCTGGCAAATAAAGCTGGTTCTTAATCTAACCTTTGTGAATTGACTTTTTTTCGTTAATGAGATTAAGGTGGCTCCTATCCAATGTAATGTCTCCTGCATATTCTTGTCAGGCTTCGGTTGAGGATTGAGGACCCAAATGCAGAGGCTGAGAGGTAGGGGTGAGTTCTGGCAGTTTTTATGAATTAACACAGATAACAGAGGCAGGAATCCAAAAATCCAACATGAAAATGTAAAAATTAACAAGAACCATGGAGACATCAGTGGAAAACAAGCATGTGGAGTCAGGGAAAGGCGAGGAGAGACGAAGAACCAGCACAGAGGAACTGCACAAAGAGAGTATCTATTGTAGACTGAACAAAGAGAGGACTAACGAGCAGATTGGGAGCAGGTGTGAAGAGAGCAGTCTAAGAAGGAGCTAGGGAAAAGGAAACCAACACCAGAGGGCAACAGAGGGAAACAAATAAAAACCTAAGAACTCAAATATATCCAGAAAATACAACAAAATAGGAATTAAACCAATAAAATTAGAAAACATGGAGCAAAGAAAAACATAACAGAACCAAGAAAGTGACAGTTCTCTGTATGGCACAATTTTTCCTAAAAAGGATATAACAGGAAAAACAAGAGTAGTTCAATCCATTCATTCATCCAGTGACAGTTTATTCTTGTATGATTACCTCACAAGATAAAAAACACAAAACTGTACATGTATAACTCAAACCTAAGTGGTAGAGAGAGCAATTAATCCAATGGTCATACTTTAGACTGTCGGAGGAAGGCAGAGTACCTTGAAAGAAATCATACAAGTAAGAGGGAAATCCTGCAAACAAATACAGAAATACTAAAGAATGAGATTCCAACACTGGCCTATAATGTTGCCATGCACCTGAACAAACAATGATGATACAAGAGGAACATTTAAAAATTGTGTATCATGTTGTTCTAGAAGTGAAACAAGTAGAATGTTTCACGTGTGTGTGTTCAACTTCTGTGTCCTGGTATCTTTTAAAGAAAGCATGAAAAATATATATCTGAAGTAACTTTGACTGTCAACCTGAGTACGGTAGCAATGTAGAAAAAAAAACCTTGAAACTACCACTTTAACCTTCTCAATGAATTTAACTA